TAAAGAATGAATATCACAGGAAAGCGGTAAAAGGATGGGATATTAATAACTAGTCGAACATAAAACATACAAAAAGGACCAAAGGACGAGAAAATTGCACAGACTTGAAAGCCATTATACCCAACTATGGAGATGGCGAAAAGTCGAAGAGCGTTTGACCTCAGACCAAACCAGATTTTTGCTAATCTAATTTTTCTGGTGGTTCTAGCATTTCCTCATGTTCACTGGTTGGTTTTACGGCTTTACTGTTATTTGTGTCCTCCTGCTTAAATTTGAAAACCACATCAAGTGGGTAAAGGCGATCGAAACGACCAAACTACTTAAGATAAAGCAAGAAATTCACGGGAAACCGTTGAACTGCTGAAAAATTAATAACGAGCCGAACAGAAAACCTAAAAAAAGAATCAAAGAACGAGAAAATTGGTCAGACTTTGAAAAGGCATTTGACACAACTAGAGATGGCGAGAAGCCGAAGAGCGTTTAATGACAGACCAAGCAAGAGAGTTTTAGCAAGTCTAGTTTTTCTGTAGTTCCAGCATCCCTCGTGTTCAGTGGTCAGTCTTTGGGTTTTACTGCCAATTTGTTGTCAGTTGTCAGTTACTGTCAGTCGATACGCATCTGCCTAAAACGAGATCATCGAGGATTCACAATTCCGCAAACTTCAAGTGAACTTCACGGATGCGGGGATCGCAAACCTACCGTTGATGATGGGGAAAACCTCAAATAGCAGACCAAACCAGCGATGATAGACGGTCCTGGAATATCGGAAACATGCAAGCTACAGCCATCATCCCCATAATTCATAAATACCTCTGGCAATATTGTAATTAGAAGTTATTTAAAGTTATCATACTTTGTACCATAGTCAATAATCTTCTGTCTTCAGTTAAATGTGTGCAGTTTGGCTTTGGCTACTATTGAATTGGCTTTAAACCAAAAGAAAGACTCAGCCAATATCACTGAGTGCTGTAGCTGGAAAAATTAATCATGGCAACATGCCGAAACCCGCCGGTTTCAGAGGAGTGTGGATAAGCAAACCAAGATGCTCCGAAACGACCAAGCTACAGGTTCTCCATCCCAAAAACTTCAAGTACAGTGAACTATTGTGAATTTAGGGATGCGGGGATAGAAAACCTATCTTTGGTGCTGAGGAAATGCTAAACCAAGCATAATAGATGGTCCTGGAAAATCAGAAACTTGCAAGCTACAGGCATCATCGCCAGAATTCATAAATACCTACCTTGTAATTAGAAGTTATTTAAAGTTATCATACTGTGTACCATAGTCAATAATCTTCTGCCTTCAGTTAACTGTGTGCAGTTTGGCTTTGGCTACTATTGAATTGGCTTTAAACCAAAAGTAAGACTCAGCCAGTATCAATGAGTGCTATAGGCGAAAAAATTAATGAGACCACAAACTCTCTCTCGATGATGGCAACCTACCGAAACCCGTCGGCTTCAAGTAGTGAGGATAGGCAGGCCAAAATGATCTGAAACGACCAAGCTACAAGTTCACCATCCCGCAAAGTTCAAGTGTAGTGAACTATTGTGAAATTAGCTTGTATTCAGGGATTTGTGGATCGAAAACCTACGTGGTCCATCTCGCATTCATTCTAAAAACCAAACTTAAACGCTACAGTGTCATCAGGAATCAGTTAAACCCTTGTAAAATCGTTCAGCAAATAGACCTTGTGAAAACGAGATGTACAATCATTTATAGCTTTTCGCAACCGATGCCCTTCCCGAATCGCCTCTCAGATTTCATGTAATCGAAAGTATGAAAACAGCTGGTTTTCAGCCAGAGAAAGTCGTAAGAAAATAACTCGACATGTTATGTTAGTCGTCATGGCGGTCAGGTTAGAGAAATCCATATTAAAAAATCTCCGGGTGGCCGTAATTGCATACTTCTCTACCGCCCGTAAAATGAGCCGTAAATCCAAATCGGGCGGATGTTTTCCCCCGGAAGAATGCGGAATTATGAAAAGAATGGTGTAGAAACAAACAAGTAGTTTATTTATAGTACGAATTTTCTATCTTAAGTCGTATTTCTGTTCCTTGGGGGAAAAATTGAGAAGGGGTGTTTAATATGTAGTTTTGTCTGTAAGTAATATTTATCCTTTCATTCGTTGTACTTTCAGATTTTCAATTGGCATTACAAGGATTTCTAAGGAGTTAACAACGTCCTCGCCGCACCCCTTCTCGCTTTGTAAAAAACACGTCCGATCGCTCTATTTGTCCGTGCTGAACCGGCCCCGGACTTAAAAAACGACAAGTCCGTCGAACCTGAGCCTACGAGAAATCAAAATATTAGCCTGAAAGGGAGAGAAAGTAGGATTTGGATTGCTCTCTCTGTCCCACCCGCGGGGCTTCCGCGTTTGTACAGAAGGAGAGAGAAACAGACACGGAGAAAGTGTGATTCGCCCTGTCAGAGAGCCAGCTATGCGAAGCACGGATTCGTTTCCCACAATGGCTTTGGCCCGGGCACATTAAGTCCCACGTCTGTTCCACAAAACTGAATGATTTTTGGGTGATATTTCCATTGGGCAAAACATCACGGTTTGGAAATCGGGAAAAAGAATGCTTTCTTTTGCAAGGGAACGAAGTGCCAATTATGTTAATGGGCTCGAAAATAATTCGACTGTAAAATAAAACGAAGACTCCACTTATTCTCAAACGCTCTGATTACTCTCGGACATTTCTTTCTCGGCGGGCCCGCCCGGAAAGTCCAAGGACCACTTAAACCGCGAAAGAATGTTTTGAGTAACTTCCTACATTCTGTCTGCCATCCGCCTTCTACTTTACAAGACAAACACACTGAAGAACTTCTATTCGTCTCAAGTTAAAATATATCAAGATAAAATGAAGAGAAAGCTAAATTTTGGCATACCCTTCCAAACAACATACAAAAAATATATTTTTGTAAAAATAAAAATTCCTAAATTTAGGACTTAATTCCGTACTTGGATTTTAAATGGCACAAAAATTGGAAGCCGGGCCGCAAACGACCGAAATCCCCTTCATAAACCCAAAATATATGCATTAGAAATTGACAGCAAAAGATTGAAAACAGCACAGATAGATACTTCAGGTGGTAAACCCAAAGCTAGTCTCGGGCTGTCCAAAGATTATGTTCGTTCTGGACCTTCGTGGTCTCTGTATATCCTCTGGTGGACGGTGACAGACGGATCGGATTTATCTCTGATTTGTCAGCATGCTAGTCTGTTAGTTGTGGCTTTTTAGAAACACAAAATCAAAAATCCATAGCTGAAGATGGATGGCAATACCCGTCTGACAGCTTTGGTCTTGTGAATCATCTTGATCTATCTATTCGAGTTTAGCCATATTCAGTGGATGGTCTGTGTGTATTCTATCTGTTCCGTCCTTTTATAAGGTGTAGAAACCTCATTCACAAATCCACCAACGAAGATCGCGAACCAGTAGCTCACAGCTTATCTATGTAGACATCAACGATAATCCTAATCTATTCTAGTTTTGCAGTTTTGCGTATTCAGTGGTTGATCTTTGTGTTATTCCAACCAGTTGTGTCCTTTCAGGAGTGCTGAAACTTCATATGGCTCAGAAAACCACAACTGCCTATGGTAATTCCATCTTGATCTATATACTTTGGTTTAGGAATTTTGCCGTATTCAGTGGTTTGTATGTGTTATTCTATACATCTTGTCCTTGGATAAGGCATACAAACCTCAGTCAACCAACTAATGAAGTTGGCGAAACCGAGCCTGACAGCTGTGATTCTAACTTCTAAATCAACGAACATCTTCATCTGTCTAATGCCTAATCGGTATCTCGCCATCTTCAATGGTTGGCAGTGTGTTATTCCAATCAGTTATGTCCTTTTATGAAGTTTGAGTACTAAGGTTGATCAGAAAACCTCAACTGAATATATCAATACCCGCCTGACAACTGTGGTCTTGTGTATCATCTTAATCTTTCTAGCGTTTAGATATTTTGCCATAATCAGTAGTTGATCTGTGCGTTATTCTGTCCATCGCGTCTATTTACAAAGTATAAAACCTCAGTCACAAACCCACCGATGAAGATGACGAAACCGAGCCTGCCAGCTGTGGCTTATGTAACATCAATGATCATACTAATCTGTCTAATAGAGTATCACCATTTCCCAATCCTTAGAGGTTGGTCTATTTGTTATTCCAATTAGTTGTGTCTTTTTATGCGGTATTGAAACCTCAGATGGTTCAAAAACCCACCACTTAATGCCGAAACCCGTCTGACAGTTGTGGTCTTTTGTAAATTGATTCTGCATTTTCGCATCTCCATGTGTGTCATTCCGCGAATTCCTTTTACAAGGACGGACCATCCATTTGACAAGCAATCATAGGGTAGGATCAAGTTCATCACTCCCTATCCAAAGAAAAACTCTAAACTATTGGGGAAATGACAAAGCGGCCTCTGGCCAACAAGGCATACGTGCGTTTAAAAGAAATAGCTGACATGCTAGCAAGATGTAGAACATCACTTACATCTACCGGACCAGAACCACTAAGCACAACTCTACGTATGCTGAAGTGGAGCTGAACGGGCTGAAAAGAAAACACTGGACTAATAAGAATAACTTATAACTGTCTTAAAGAAGCGACCTACCCTTCGCACGGATTTTGGTCGATCCAAGAAGGACGTCGTCATGTGTGACTGGGGGGCATTCGATAGCGGTTATGCCAATTTTGAATGGTAATTATATACAGAAATTATAGAGGTGGGATAAAAGTTATTCAAATGCTTAAAGGTGGATCTTTTTTTTTTTTTTTTTTTTTTTTGGCATTGAGTTTTGTTTCATAATGGTAGTGGTTGACAGAGAAAATAATCACCATGGGCCCACCCCACTTGTACCCAATACCGTATCCTCAAAAAGAAAATACCGGCACAGTAAATTTCAATTCATTACGCTAATGAAGAACAGTTTAGTTGTTCCAACAAGTAATTATCAATTGTGGGAAAGTTAATTAAATCCGAATTTTCTAGGGCTCCGACCCGAGGTTGGCCACATGCCGCGGGAAGCTCCAGAACAAGAGGTCCAAGCTGAATCAAGAAATTAACAAAGAATTAAGGCTTCGTGCCGGCGCTGAAAACCTTTACAAGTATTTGTTCAAACCTTGGCTTATTTGAATTTAAAGTTTTGTCGGTTATAACTGCCGTGTCTTTGTTTTCCAGAGCTACGACGAACCGCAAGTTGAAGGAGACGGTCGCCCTCGAGCTAAGCTTCGTCAACTCGAACCTACAGCTTTTAAAGGAGCAGCTCGCCGAACTCAACTCCTCCGTCGAGATATACCAAGGAGAAAGGTACAAGCAATTGATCTCTGTCGATGGACAATGAATTAATTGTCGTGTAAGGGATTCGAGTCCGTTCAACTCATCCGTGGTATTTCACGTGTATCTGAAAGTTATACAACCTAATTATGAGAGAATTCACGGCCCGGTTCACATCTGACAAAATCTGTTACAGATACATCGTTTTACCGAACTTCCTCCGTGTTCGGTAAACCTCCTTACGATATCCCACGTGCACACCTCCTATCAAATAAATTCTCTAACTTACCTACAAAAAATTAGAATAGCGGTATAGCACGATATAAAAAAAGACCTAATTGCGGGGAATCCGTTGGAAGTGATTTGTTTTTTGTTACAGTTCTGAGCCGGTCATGCCGATGATACCTTTGGGCCTCAAGGAAACGAAGGAAATCGATTTCACGGAACCTTTCAAAGTAAAACGCCTCTCTTTTGTCCCTAGTCAAAGTTTTCTGTAAATATTTACATTTTTCTACCCTTCCAGGATTTCATTTTGGAACACTACAGCGAAGACGGAAATAAATACAACAAGGCCATACAAGAATTTATGGACTTGCGCCAGGTAAGAAAACATTAGAGATATCATCATTGAACAAACATAAAAATTTATAAACTTTACAGTCGATGCGTTGCCCAAGAAGAGATGAATCAGGAATAGAGCTGCTTTATCAGTATTATAACCAACTTTACTTCGTCGAAAGAAGATTTTTCAGCCCGGACCGCAATCTAGGAATATACTTCGAATGGTATGTTAATAATATAAAAATAATAAATTATATCGATGAAGAAAAACCATTTTTTTGTACAAAATATTGTGTTAATCACATAGTGATATGTCGGCGATGATCATCTTCGTTGGTTGGTCTGTGTGTTATATCTCTTTTAAAATGAAAACCTTAGATCACATACCTTACCTGAGCTCATCGAAGGTTGGTGCAAAAAGTGGAGGACAAGATTAAACGGAGAAAAGTGCATCCAATGTACGTTCACTTTGAAAAAACAGTCTTGCCCTCCACTATACATCAACAATGAAGAGATACCGACTTCCACTCAAGTCAAATACCTAGGACTATACCTTGACAGCAGACTGACCTGGAATCCCCACACAAGACTTAAAAGACAACTCAACAGAAGACTTGGACAATTACGCAGACTACTAGGACCAAAATCCGGGTTAACCATCTGCACTAAACTGACCTTATACAAGACTTTACTGCGACCACTTTGGACATACGGTGTGGAACTGTGGGGTTCCGCCAAACCATCCAATATCCAGCGTATCCAGTCCTTCCAATCAAAAGTCCTCAGACAAATCGTCAAAGCTCCTTTTTACGTCTCTAACCTCACTATCCACAAAGACCTCAACGTTCCTTTTGTCCACGAACTGATCCATTTCCGATTCCAAAAATTTCATACCAACCTATCGATCCATCCTAACCCTACCGCTAGAGCCCTCTCCACATATTCCCATCCCGAGAATCCACCACGTCGCCTAAAACGACGATGGCCCCGAGACCTCCTTGCCCCTCAATCTATTAAAATGAGTTCCAGCACTGGCTGGCTTCTCATGGCATGCGTCCTCCGGGTGCAGCGCTGGCATCAGTGTTAGTGCTCTGACCGAGCGGTGAACAATATACATTGTGCTCACATTTGTATTATGTACAAGTATGTATAGGCTACAAATAAATAAATTAAAAAAAAAAAAAAAAAAAAAAAACCTTACCAAGCTCGCGTCAGACCATTGCAAGGAGATAGCTGGACCAAGAGATTTTCCTTGCGGGGCAGGAAATTTCCTAATCATGGTGATCATCGCCGGTTTTTGTCCATCAGACGCTTTTGACATTTCACCATCTGATGATTGGTCTATGTGTTATTCATTTTATTGCAAAAAGGGTTGGAAGCTCAGATAAATCATAAAGCGACCCTCGAAGACAGAGATATGCGGCTGACTGACCAGAGCAGCGAAGTTAGGCGGATCAAAATGATCGGAAACGGTCAAAATGAAGGTTCATCGCTGATCATCGGCTGAACGGAGGACCTTCTCGTCCACCTATGCTCGCTGCTTTTTTTTTATCGATGCTTTCGGCAATTTTGCATCTTCTGTGTTATTGTGTCAAACCTGTCCTTTCATAAGGTCTTGGAACCTCAGATGGATGGTCCTTTTATGATCCTCCTTTGAATCCTCCTTTCAAGATAGCGAAATGCAGAAACATGCATATGTTGAAAGTATTCAAAGAGACCAAAGGAAATGCCGTCAGGCCCAGCGTTGAAAATGGCGAGAAGCCGAGACGACGACAGATCAAACCAGAGTGGTTAGATATTCTAGTGGCTTTAGATATTCTGGGGGTTTTAACATTTCCTGGTCTAGTGGTTGGTCTGTGTGTTTTACCTTCATCAGAAACGCATGTTTTCCTAAAATCTGCAAGGATAATCCGACCAGGATGACCCTAAACGGCAAAACTACTTAGGACATACTACTCGAAGAAAGTATGTCATCGGCAATCCTTTAAACTGCTGGAAAATTAAACACCGGACAAATAGAACCTCTGGAAATAAAAAAAGTTTTAAAACCAACCAGCTCCATCTAATTTTTACCAATGTAGCATCAGATATAATAACTGTTTTCGTTACATCACCTTTGAATCCAGGTACGACAGTTTCACCGGTGTACCTTCATGCCAGAGGACTGTAGCCTTCGAGAAGGCGTGCGTTCTATTCAACATAGCCGCACTTTACACCCAGCTTGGTGCGAGGCAGAACCGTGCTTGCGCCAAGGGGCTTGACAAAGCCGTCCAATACTTCAACACGGCGGCCGGCACTCTTGCATACATCAGGGAGAACTTCACCAAAGGGCCGAGCGTCGACCTGTCAGCACCAATGTTCCAGGCCATCGAGAGTCTCATGTCTGTAAGTACTTGGTTTATTTTAACGTATATGTATGTCAAATAGAATTTCTTGGATTATTTTAGCCATAAAGTCGTCACGGCGATGCTAAACCAGTATCGCGCCCGAGCATTACGGTCATACCAAATAGTAAAAATGGAAACATTTCCTTGTTATTTTGTAATAATGGTTAATATTTACTCATCTTTATTGTCTCATTTGTTGCTTAAATATGATAAGGCGATGATCGTTTAGAAGGTACATAAAGGTATGAGTGCCTAACATGTGAATATTCATTATATTGCTTAAAGAAGAAAAGAAAATAGAAGAGATAAAACAGAAAAGGTAGAAAAATAATCTAGATAAAACTCAGTAAATCTACAATCAAGAAAAACCAAAGGAAAAGATACTAGCTATTTGTAGAAAAATAAAAAAATAAAACAAAATAGAAAAGTGTTTATTATTATTACATTCCAAAACATCTTACAAAAAAATAAAAATAAAAAAGCTAAACGCACAATAACTCTTAAAACACAAATAGGATGGGCTGTAAAAAAATAATCTAGAAAAAAATCAGAAACTAAAAAGTAAATCTACAGTCGAGAAAACTAAAAGAAAAGATACTAGTTATTATCTAGATGAGAATAGTTAGTTAAGTTATTAGTTAGTTATATCTAGTATAGAATAAAATAGAAAAGTGTTTATTAATATTACATTCCAAAAGATCTTGGAAAAAAATAAAAATAAAAAAGCTAAACGCACAATAACTTAAAACACAAATAGGACGGGCTGTAAAAAAATAATCTAGAAAAAACCCAGAAACTAAAAAGTAAATCTACAGTCGAGAAAACTAAGAGAAAAGATACTATTTATTATGTAGTTTAGAATAGTTAGTTATTAGTTAATTATTAGTTAGTTATTATCTAGTATAGAATAGAATAGAAAAGTGTTTATTAATATTACATTACAAAAGATCTTACATAAAAAAAGAAAAGTGCTTAATGCACAATAACTTAAAACACAAATAGGATGTACTATAAAAAAATAATCTAGAAAAAACTCAGAAATTAAAACAGTAAAGCTACAGTCAAGAAAACTAAAAGAAAAGATAATACTAGTTATTATCTAGTATGTTATTATCTAGTTATTATGTAGTTTAGAATAGTTAGTTATTAGTTAGTTATTATTAATTATTAGTTAGTTATTATCTAGTATAGAATAGAATAGAAAAGTGTTTATTATAATTACATTCCAAAAGATCTTACATAAAAAAAGTAAAATGCTTAATGCACAATAACTTAAAACTCAACTAGGATGGGCTGTAAAAAAATAATCTAGAAAAACTCAGAAACTAAAACAGCAAAGCTACAGTCAAGAAAACTAAAAGAAAAGATACTAGTTATTATTTGTAGAGAAATAAAAAATAGAATAGAAAAGTGTTTATTATTATTACATTCCAAGAGATCTTTTAAAAACACAAATAGCATGGTGTACCCCCTTTGCTGAGTTGGCTTAATTTCTAGTAAATAATCCTATTTTACCAATTTAATGATTGAGTTTAGAAGTGTATTTACGTATAAGTTATTATTGAAAATATTGAATCAGACCTTCAACAATGTATACCAAATAAGTAGTCTCAACAATTTTAATAATAAATCTCAACTGAAATTACAACACAGTAGAAAAGATAAATGGTGGAGTGAGTGGGTTGTTCAATCTTTAAAAAGATCTCACAATAAGTTGTTTTCAATGATCCGGATTTGGAGCTTACAGATTCTTCAACCTGATGATGAGCTGTAGGCTCGAAATCCGGATAGTTTAAAATAACTTACTGTGAGTAGAAACTAATTTTTTAAAAGAGATTGAACAACACCATCAAATTTCAACAATTCTGTAATCTGATATAGGAACATTATTTACATATTAATTATTTCTGTAAATATAAATTTAAGTATTTTATATTATTTGGACAAAAATAAAAAATGTTCTATGTTTAAAGCAAAAAAAAAAAAACTAATTATAGTACATAGTAGACAAATATTTTATTTAGATCACAGTGGGGAAAATAAATTCTTTAGCTTTTACGCCAAGAAAATTAAAGTAAAAGATGTGATGATGGAAAGTTTGGAGAGAACTTTTGAAACTAAATGAAAGCCTCCTGCTGTGATCTGCAATAAAATTGTTAATAAATTTTATTATTTTGTTATTTATAGGCTCAGGCTCGCGAGTGCCTGTTTGAAAAACTGGTTCTCCAATCGAAGCAGAGACGGGATGCCGAGACGAACTTCGATCTTGCCCTAGAAGCGCAGGAGGTGTCCAAAACATACGACTCCGTCAAAAAGTCAATGCAGACTGAAATCGAGGACTATCTGCCTTATTCATGGTCGGCCTTGGTCTCCTCGAAAATCCACCATTATTCCGCTTTGAGCAAATCTAGAGCAAGCAACTGCCTCGTGTCTTCAAACCCGAAAGGCGATCTTCTTGTCAAACTGTCCGACGGCCTTTCAGATTATGGGAAGAAAGATCAGTACAAAATTTTAAGGGTGGCTTATCTGCAAAAAGCTATTTTCTACCATGAAGAATCAGCGAGAGTACAACGCATGTGTAGAGAATTGAGGACCAAAAGTGGACTAACACAGGTCATTATTTTTATATTTATATTAACAATATTAAAAGTAACAATTTCAAAACTTTTACATAATTTTGTAGGTGATTGAACGGTCATTACGTGCGAGTGAGGAGGCTTTCCTCTCAGACTCCCCAACAACGCTCAGCGACCTTGTAGAGCCTCCGGAGATTCCAGGTACTGGGAAATGTGAACTAAGGCCATCCGGTCCTGATTTGGGCCGGGTCAGCGCCAGCGACCTCTTCAGTGACTTGGGACCTCTCGCAGTCTTCTCTGCACTTACTTCTTGGTCACCGCCAAGACAGGTGACTCTGCAGCAGCCCAGTACTGGGCATCACACTGGTTATGGTTTCACGATAACGACCGACACTCCTGTACTCGTCTCCTCCCTTCAGCCGAACTCACTAGCACAGGTTTTTATATTCAACATGTCAACTTTTATAAACTTACTTAAGTCTTTTTTTTTATAGATGGCTGGTATGAAAGAGGGTGATTTCATCGTCGAAGTGAATGAAATCGATGTCAAATGGTCAACTCATGAACAGGTCGTCACTCTCATCAAAGCATCAAAAGAAAAGCTCACTCTTAAAATAGTAACTCCTGGGGCCAGTAAAGTATCCAGAAACCGAAGGAAGGTAAATAATACATTTATTTCAGCTTAATTCTCAAGCTCTATACTTGACTATTTTTGTAAAATACATTATATATTACGAATAGAGAAAGATAGGTGATAATCTTTATATGTTAGTCTTTGCGCAAGTTGTAAAATAGTGTGGTGATCTTCTAAGTGATGAATCAGCCAGTAGTTGGTCTATGTGTTATTTTGTGAACGTGACTGTGCCTGGAAGACAAAATCAGCAAGAAAAGCAGACAAGACAATTGCTAAGCAATAATCAAGCTACAGCTTACAAAAATTTTTTTAAAAATCTTAAGTTTTAAATGTTTCTTTAAAGCTAAAAATCATCATAAAAAAATAACATTTTTGAAATAAATGCAATATTGGATTATAGTTTATACTAGAAGAGCTGCTTATGCTATCTAACTGCCTCATATTAATAATTTAAATTCCTAAGCCTTTTTTTATACTTTTGTTTTGGCTAAATTAACCAATCAAATGTTAATCTGATTTTTTTTTTTTAATCTTAGGAAGTACAGAACATGGTGAGGCCGGGAAAAGCCGCCGACCAAAAAGAGGAAAAAGGTGAAAAACGAATTTGGAACCCGTTCAGAAAGCCTCAGACTGAGAAAAACACCATCTCCCGATGATGATCGCTTTCAAATCACGATGACCTGACATTTAAGTGTATGAATGGGTGCAATATCAAAACATGATACTCAATCTGAATATTTGAGTTGTTTTATAATCCTTTCATTGCAACTATAAACAGACAAAAAAAATATTCTCCCCCCTCCAAAGTATTTTTATAGTAAAAACCTATGTATTAAATGATTTGTATTTATTTATAAAATAAATTGGTACTGGAATTGCTAAGAATTGTGAACTTGGTGAATTGTTATTGGCGCCTGGTTATTTTTCTTTTATGTTTAAATCTTCAAATTGTACATTTTGTGTATATTACGTTGGCAGATGAACGGGACAAAAATCAAGAGAGAAACTGCACGATGATTATTTTTTCTTGTAGAGCTGTGGTTTATAACGGACACTTTCCTCTCCTATCCTGCCAAATTATAGAGGTTATTGTATTTTGTAAAATGATCGTCAAAATTATAACATTTTTAATATTGGCATGAGTTGTTTTCTTTAAAAAATACCAATGGACTTATATAATAATTGAGAAAAGTGTTTGTCAATTAATTATGAACATTGTTAAAAGCTGTTGGGCCTGATTATCAATTAGTTCAGGATGTTCTTTCAATTGCACATCTGTTTATAAAGATTCTTGTTTCTATTGATATTTCACTATCTCATTGGAAAATTCTATGCCAAATTTAATTGCTGGAGCTGATAACATTAAAATTAACTGGAGGGCAAGCAATATCCAAACATTATTGCAAGATAATAAGATAAACACTATTCCTAAGTTGATAAATATCCAGATATAAAAAACATACTTTTTGTAATTTTTTAACAAATCACGGTATTATGAAAGCTTTGGGATTACTTGTTATAAAAAAATTACATGCAATTTAATTTCTTAATCCCTTTGGATTTGATTGGTTGATTTATTTAAGCTGTACAGAGTTGAGTTGTCTTATGACAAACCGCAGGAATCCACCCACTTCAGTGTTTTGGCTGACCAGCATCAGACGACCTTAACCGTCGCAGTGTTTCCAGGAACTGATAACTAAGCTAGGTCATTTTCTACACATTCACTCTAATATGGTTAACCATCCTTAAACATTCCCGAAAGGTGACACGAAATAAGGTCTCTACCAAATGCTAGACATAATAAAACTCCTTTCCTCTAAAAATTGGACTAAGGGGGGCCATGCTAAGCATACCCATCGATTAAGTGAGGTCGAATTGAGCAACCTTTTTTCTCTACATGCCAAACACGTATGCGGCCCAAAAGCACGAATATGTCAACCTCGTATGTTCTATTCTTAAGAAAAAAAACATTTTTAAACAATTGCTATTTCATATTTTGACAGAGTACCAGGATGTAAAAAATATAAGGAAAATAGAATTCCAAGGGTTGAAATAAAAACAAATCTTTCTGTAAATATATTTATTTATTTTTATTTTATTTTTATTTATTTTTTTTAGATTTTTATAATCATTAATTTTTGTGATTTTTTTGTGGTTTTATCCCTTTTTTACATCTCCTTACTTCCTTGCATTTACTTTTTTTGTTTTTTTGTTTTGATTTTTTTTTTTGTTAAATTAAGAAATTATTCAAATCAACAGATGCAAAGGGCGGAGTACAGATTCACATTTGTTCAGAGTGGAGAGGTTGAAAAAAAAAAAGAGGCAAAAGTAAAATAAATGTTTTATGTATATATATATGTATATATATTTATATATGTATATACATGTATATATACTATATGTACCTATATATTATGTAGTATATATACACATATATATAAAGAAAATGAAAGTTCTAATGTTTTATTATGAAATTCCAGGGGGGGGACACAAATCTTAATTATTATATAATATATATAATGTATTTATATATACCATCATTTTTATAGTATTTAATAATTGTATTTTTTTAATTTGAGAAAAAATTATTAATTTTTTTTTATCATATATTTTGTGCTTTTTTTACTTTTTTTTGTACAGGCGGTGCAGTTTCGAATTTGTCTCAATTACATTTTCCCATTCATTTGTTCTTTTTTTTTCGGCAGTGTACAATTCTCTTGTGCATTTTTCGATACCCATATCATTCTAAAGCTCCACCGCCTCTATTTTGTATACATTTTTTTTTATAATTTAATTAATTTTTCTTTTCAATAATTATATGTAATTATCTTTCATACTTTGTACACACAATTTTTCCTATTTTATTTTTGGGGCTTTTTAATTTAATTTTTTTTTTTTTTTTGGGTTCAAGAAAAACTTTTTTCTTGATTTTTTGTTTTTATTTTGTTTTACTTATATTAAGTTTTTTATGTATATTTTTAATAATTTTTTATAATACAAAATTCTGGGACTAGAAAAACAGAAACAGGACATTTTGTGCCAATCTTTTAACTTTAAAAAAAAAGAAAAACACTGATTTTTATAAATAATTTTATACATATATAGATTTTTTTCATTCATTATATATATAATCTTTTATTTTATTTATATATTTATAAGTTATATAAAAATTTCTCTTTTTTTCTTCTTTTAACAATGCAGTTTTGTGCTGTAGTTTTACACTTGGGGTTTGACAAATGGTGGGGTACGATGCCAACCCCCACTCCTTTTTTGACGCTTGTCCGCTTAATTTTTCAGGGATTCTAGATTAATAAAGGTTCTTCGAGTATTCCAGGGGAAAAATGTAATGTTAGATTATGCATTTTGAAAGAAATGGAAGTGGAAGTTTTTTTGTATTTTTTTATATATATTTATAGAGGTTGAGTCAATTCCTTTGAAACCAGATATTCATTTTACAGATGTACTTTTCATATTTACAGTTTGTTTTTTAAATTTTTTATTTAAATATATTTAAATAAATTTTAAAAACAAAGCCAGAATCTATAAGATTTATTCCATTTATTTTACCTTTCGACTAAAAGTATTTAAGAAAATTTTTATAATTTGGTCTTTTTTTAAAGGATTTTTACTGCTAACATTGAATTCTAATATTTTCGATTCTAATTAAATATTGCAAGTAGCTCTTATAACAGCTGTTTCTGTCAATTTTTATAACATTACATTTGCCAAATTGTTCTCTTTTTTTAACTTAAAAATGTGTTTTGAAAAAGGAAATAAAATCTCGTTTGGATTTTTACACTAAGGGAAGCATTTTCAAGTTTGAAATATTGTTAGTACTCTAAACGTTTAGGTTTTATTTAAAAAAGTTAATACCTTGGATTTTAAACTGCACACTTTTGTTTAAACGATTTTGACTTAAGTTGAAAACATATATTTAAGACTTAATTGATGCAAAGTTAAAATTTTTCAAACTATTAAAACAATATTTGTCTTTTTTTTTACTTTTTCATTTTTTTTTTTTTTTTTTTTTTTTGTAATGGGTCGTACGCTGGCAAACGAAGGATGGGGGAAGGCTCTCAGTGTGCATCACAAACCTCAACAGCCAACTGGAAGATACCACAATATGCAAAAATCTCCCCATTTAAAAAGAATTCAAAAATGGAATAATAATTTATTCTCGACTGTTATTTTAATATGTAGAGCAGGGCTAAGGGATGACATTCATTTAAAAATCTTAATCAAACATTAAGAACGAAACAATTTAAAAAAAAAAGAAAAGAAAAGAAATCGGTTACCTTAATACACTTATCTTTTCAATTTGACATCATTGTTGTTATCGTATATATATAAATATATATATACGATAAATACCTATTGTGTTAATTTACAACAGTTCATATTGGCGAAGGTGCATACGTTGTATTATGTCCCTACAGTCATTGAAGACCCTCCGTATGTTTTCTGTGTCAACAGCACAAGTAAAATGGGGATAGCAGTAATGCTTCCCATCCCCCGAAGCTGTTGAAATACGCTGTGAATAAAGATTGTAGAGATTAGTAAAAAAAAATCCAAAATCTATATATATATTTTAAATATAGACCATTGACTTAACTCACCAAGAATTCATCCCTAATAAAATATTTTGCCCTAACAACAGCTGGGTCTTCGTTCCCAGCTTCCGCTTCTACAGGGGTCTCGTATCTTGAAAACTCGGAGAAATAGTCTTCAAGTCGTGATTTCCCGCTTTTGATTTTCTCTGCCAGAAGATCCTGCTTGTTCAGGAAAAGGATTACGCTTATTGTTCGCAACCACCTAAAGAATAATATAAAAAAATAATAATTCTTCCTCCTAGGATTCAATTAAAAAAAAAAATCTTGACAAACGACTCACCGATTGTTCCAAATACTTTTAAAAAGATCGAGAGATTCTCTGAGCCTGTTCTGGGTCGGATCCTCCCTAAGTACCATATTGTAGGACGAGCACGCGGTTACGAATATGATAGCAGTCACATCATTGAAACACTGGATCCATTTACGCCTTTCGTCTCTCTGACCACCCACATCAAACATACTAGAAACATAAAAAAATTAGAAAAATAATTTAAAAAAGAGTTTTGTGTGAATATTAAAGAATAAAATTTAAAAAAAAAAAAACATACTGAAAATTGACTTTTTCCACTTGGAATATAGTCTCGAATATCCCAGATGTGAGCACACGGCATCTCAAAATATCCTATGGAAAAAAAAAGACAAAAGAAAATTAGATTTATATATAATAAAAAAGAAAAAAAGGATCAATTACCTGTTCTGAGGGTGTGTAGTTAGCCTGTTTTATAACATTTACTCTATCAAGGAAACTGAAACAAACAAAAACATAAACAAACTTCACTCATTTTATTAAATTATATGATGATTTTTAGACTAGAAAAATCTTGTAGTAAAAAACAATATTTTTGATATATATATTTTCTATAGAGACTTTACTCACTATTTGGCGCAATCAATCAACTGGTATTCGTTTGATCGCTCGAAACACGCTTGAACACCTCTGTCCTTCCAAAGTATTTCTGTGTGCTCGTAAAATTCCTAATAGCAAAACAAACCGAGTGGGTCAGCAGCTTTCAAATATATATGACCCATGGCATAAAAACATCGTGATACTCACGGGTGGATAATCGAAATCCGGCTGGGAAGCGACGTCCTGGATGTAGTCCACCCTGGCCTGGTTTTCAGGATGCTCTAAAGCTATTGGAGGGCTGAGAGTCGACATCGCTCCCGTTATAGTCTGGAACGAATTAAAAATAATAAATAAAAATACTATTAAAAAGAAGATATAAGTGAGAATGCAAATCATGGACAATCACATTATTTAAACTAGTTCCAAGGTCTTATATATTTTTAATATGAAAAATTTTATAAATTTTTAATATGAACACGAACTATAACTGTTAATTGCACATAAAACAGTAGTTATGTTAATATTGTTTTATTACTTATAATTAGTATATTAAAAATTTTACTTATATACTCACCAAAATCGCGTCCCTTATGTTTTTCTTTATATCTTCTATTTTAAGTCGTTTTTCCCTGGAATTATGATCATTATGTCAGAACATTTATTCAAAGATCATACTAGTATAATATGAATATTTACTCTGGGGAAAACCCATTGACATGGAGTATTTTCATTTGTTTCACTATAGTCGACTTTCCTGATTCACCAGCGCCTAGAAACAAAACAATTTTTTTTTAATTCTTTCAATTCAATTGTAAATTTATGAAATTCTGCCTCTTGAGACTGTTGGATATGTTTCCAAATTTTAACATTCAAAAACAAATCATGAAACTTCCTCCTGTGGTCTGGGCGAGGTGTTGGACTGATAACGATTACATTACAAAAACAAATCGTCAAGGAAAATGAGAGCACATTTTTATAAATAAAGATAATAAAGAGAAAAATAATAGAAAAAATGCCACACCCTTAGATTTATAAAATGAAGAAAAAACTAAAATAAAATATCTACAACATATTTGACAAAAAATTTAAACATTTTGTTTAATAATTTGTTGAAGTCGTGAGGAGCGGACAGGAATGAAGTATTTTAGAAAACAACTTTTTCATTTTTCCCCCCAACATTTTGACCTTTATTCGGGTCATCTTCATGGATGTTGATTGGAAAAAAATACAATAGATATAAATTATATAAATGTTGAACCTAGTATTTCATACTCACAAAATGTAAAAAAAAATTAATTGTTCAGTGAATTTTAAAAACAAGAAATTTACTTTAATCACCAATATCAATGGTGCATAATCTGTATACAAAAAGAAAAAAAAAACTGGCCAATTTATATGAGCTATATTTGGTATTTACCTATTGGAATGTCAACCATGTAACAAATATAAATAATTTCTATTCACAACAGGAAAACCATTTCCAATTATTATATTAAAATTTTATATCATTAATTAATTATATTGAAGAATCAAGGATGTAGTCCAATTTAAATATCTGAAATTTCAACTATTTATTCAGTATTCATCAGACAGAATTTATTCAGAAAAGTATAACATTTGAGTACTTAAATAATATTTTATAATAATAACATGAGCAATACAACATAAAAACGATAATATAAAAAAAAATTACTAGAGGAGTCACGACAATAGTAATTAAATAGAAAAACAAGATGTCAGCATGTTGTATTGCTGTACTATACCAATTTTGCAGAATGATTTATATTTTATTTATTTGTTTCCAATAATTTAAAATGTAAAAAATTATTAAAAATTATATATTATTAAAATTATACTGAATGTATTATAAGACATGAGCTTTTATGTGTTTTATTGGTTAAAAAAAAAAAATCGTCTGAAACTGAATTTATTTCAACCTTGAACAAATTGTTGTCAACAATGAAAAAACAGGCTACATATTAATTTTCTATTGGTAAAATTTTGAATTTATTGTCTATTTTCTATATTATATAAATTATTTCGTTAAGTTGGTTTTGTAATATAGTTAATAAATAATCCAATATCAGGCTTATCAGGTTTTGTAGATTCAGATGACTTTGCCCTGTCGAAGGGAAGTTTCAGCCTTAATGTTTGAAAATGATAGAAAATCAGGCTATATATATTTGCTAAATGGTAAAATGTTAAATATAATTATCTATATTTGCCTAGATTGGTCGATTTCCAATAACTTTCTGTTCAAAACGACTGCAAAGGACCAGTCAATAAGAAAATAAAGTTGCATACCTCGAGAGGAAATCGCCATCAAAATTTCTTTCTGAAAGTACAATTTTATATGCCGATGGAAATGCTGTGTTTAATAGTACTTCAACAAAATAGGTTTGTTGTTTCCGAGCATTTCTTGCCTATCTTTGCGCTATTGGACTGGCATGAAAGATGAACCAAAATGACCAAAATTAAGCAAAGTAAAAGTTTATTACCACACTAAATTTCAACAAAAACTTCACTATTTATTTTCGTTTTTTGATTCATAATTTTATAAGTTGGTGTAGCTTGACCTGTTTCTGATCATTTCTTCCCTATCCTTCGTGTTTCAGTCTGGCAAGACAGATTATACAAATTTACTGGAATCAACCATTGTAAAAGCTTATTACTATGCTAACCATCCCTAACCATGTTACGACTCAGTAAAAAAAAGCCAATTTTTCTTTGGTTTTATTTGAAAGTGTAATTATGTAAGTCAATGTAGTGCGGTAATTTCTTGCACTTTTGTTCTGACATGGAGATAATACAAAGCTGGAATACACCAAAGCAAAAGTCCATTAACAGGCTAAATCTAAACAAAAATGCCAACTATTTATTGAGTTTTATTTGAAAGTGCAATTCTATAATTCAGTGTAGTTTGGTTGTTTTCGACATTTCTTTCACATCCATGGTGTTTGTGTCTAGCATGATAGATTATCCAAAATGATCAGAATCGACCAAAGTAAAAGATAATTACCTAGCTAAACCTTAACAAAAAATTATACTTTTTATCTAAGGTCTTGGCTGAGATGGAAAAGTCAATGCCACGAGCAGGATTCGAACCCACGACTTTCGGCTCAATATGCCACTGCTCTAACCACTTGATCTACCATGAATTCGATCCACTCGGACACCAAATCCTCATCTCAACCTACAACCTTCAAATATTCCCTCTTTTTGCCATTTTTCAAATGTCGTGTAATCAGAATTTCATTCTCAGTGACTTATGTGGTAACAGGGAGATGTTAGTGAAGTAATTGCCTCTTTAATTATTATATTAATCCATTTATGTTTAGCGGTCATAGTTGACCTGTTTAATTATTATATATTGATATTAATTATATCAATGTAAATATTATATTGATATTAGATATTGAAAAAGAATAATTCTTGGTTGACTGGTAGTAAAATAATTATACTTACATAAAAAGTATTATTAATTGAAATAATTAAATAGGACAATTATGACTGCTAAACATATATGGATTAACTTAACAAAAAAGCTCATTTTCCTTTGGTTTTATTTGAAAGTGCAATTTTATAAGTCAGTGTAGTTTGGTCTTTCTAATCATTTCTTGCCTATCCTTGCACTTTTGGTCTACCATGAGAGATGATCCAAAACGACCGGAATTGACTAAAGTGAAAGTTTATTATCACGTTAAATCTCACTATTCATTTTAGTTTTATTTGAATGCATAATTTTATAGGTCAATATAGTTCGATTGTTTGCGATCATTTCCTGCACTTTTGGCTTGACATGCAAATGATCCAAATGGACCAGTATTGATCAAAGCAAATGTTTATTACCTTGTTAAACCTTGACAAAAAATGTCAGCATTTATTGTTTTATTTGAAAATGTTGTTTTATAAGTCAGAGTAGTTTGGTCGTTTCTAATCATTTCTTGCCTATTCTCGCACTTGTGGACTGGAATGAGAGAAGAACAAAAATGACCGCAATCGACCAAAGTAAAAGTTTATTACCATGCTAAATCTCAGCAAAAATCACACTATTTATTTTGATTTTATCTGAATGCATAATTTTGTAGGTCAATGTAGTTTGGTCATTTGCGATCATTTCCTGCACTTTTGGTTTGACATGACAGACGATCCAAATTGACCAGAATCGACCAAAGCCAGTTAGTTTACTACCACACCAAACCTCAACAAAAAATCTCACTATTTATTTACTTTTATTTGAAAGAGTAATTTTTAAGGTGATGTAGTTTGGTTGTTTCTGATAATTTTTGTCAGCCTATCCTCACTGTTTAGGTCTGTTGTGACCAATAATAAAAATTTAAAAAAAAATACAGAAACAAACAAACTACACGTTAAGTTGTGTATTACAAAGTATTAATTGGGTTGTGTATTTATAGTGGAATTGACGGTGTTAAATGTATTGTTAAAAACATTGAACGCACCGAGAAGAAGCAGCCGGTGCGTCGCCCTGTAGACTTGCTTGTCCTTCTGCAGTTGCTGGTTGATCTTCTTGTTGGTCTCCTTACTCCTCTTTGTCTCCTCATGGTCGGCCCTGGAGGCCGCAGAGCCGAAGCAGCCCATGTCCGAGTCCCCGGTGTACGCGAGCTCAGCACAGATCCGCTCAACCGCACACCCCAGAGGGTGCGATCCGTCCAATGCCGCACATCCGGGCAGTCGATTCTCTCTCTTTAGTCAATGCAAGGGCGAGAAGCGGACACTTCAGCAGCTTTTTTTCTTCACTTTATGCATAAAAGTTAATTTTTCGTGAGGGTCCGGAGATCGAGTCGAGTCAAAAAGTCGAGCCTCGCCTTCGAATTTCCTCCAAGAGCCGGAACGGACGCGAACGAGACGAAGAAAGAGCTCTAAAAGAGAGTAAAGTGCCGAGGGTGAAAAAAACAACTAGACTGTTATTAAACGTGTTGAAAAAAGACCCAATGAGTCTTTTTTCTCTTAATATAAAGGCTTCCCCCACCTTCGAGTCCTTTTCCTTTCAAAATCGGCCAAATCTGGAAAAACGAGCCTCTTTTCCACGGTGTTCCGGAACGCCCGGAAAGGCTCGGGTTTTCCGCTCGGGTCGGGCCGCCCCTTTTCCGGGCCTCTTCAGCTCGGGTTTCCTCCGTGAAGGCGGCGGCGGCGGCTGAGGCGGCGAAGGGGGCGGAAAATCAAGGAAAAACGGCACCACCGGATTTATTAATAAACAACGGGCTGTACATATATAAATATAGACTGGGAGTCCGAGTTTTCCCCGAGAGAGACGGGAAGGCCAAACGGGTGGGGGGGCGGTGGTGGGAAGAGGGAGTGACAGAGAGGAAAAGTCCCGCTCCGCCTCCAACCCAAAGCGTGAGACAGAGAGGGAAAAACCGAATCATCGATCATCCCCCGGTTGAAACACGGGCTAGCCTTCGCCTCGGACCGACTAATCGATTAATAACACATCAATAACAAAATAAATCGATTTTACTCATTCATCGATTCAATTAACTCCTATTTTTTAAACACATTTACACTCATTTTAACCATTTTTTTGTTTTATTTATATTCAACATTTTATCTTCTCGAGTAAAGAATTTTTAATAAACCCGAATCAAAAACATTTGTTTCATCCGCGTTAAAACTTGTAAAATTATTTCATTTTCGAGACGGCCATCAAGAGCGCCCCCATACGACGAACCCATTCCGTTCAAATTACCATTCCAAACATGGATAAATCCCATTTGTGACCTGTCCACAATTCAAACGAAAGAAACATTTTATAATCCTAAATGGACTTTTGAGCAACAAGAGTCTTTAAATCTTATTTCATGACTATATTATAAAGTCTGTCTTTAATGTGCCAATCATATCAGACCAAAACAGCAAGATATGATTGTTAACGACCAAACTTCATCATCACTCATTTATTCTCTATTTTTTAAATGAAGTTGCTGCTAATCTGGAATAATTCTGTATCACTATTGGCTGATGATTTAAAGCTGGTTAATACTGTAGGTCTTGAGTCAGAGGGTCATTCAAGATTTTTGGTTGCAGCATTGGTCATCTGTATGGTTATTATGAATAGTGAAAAATTATTTGTTTTTATAAAAGAACTAAGGATGAAAATAAACCTGTATATTTTCTTAAGGGCAAGCAGAAGGAGAAAGTTTCTGAGGTACAAGATCTCAGGGTAATTTTTAATGATCAGGGCATTGATGCTGTGATCTACAAGGCTTAGGCTTTATTAAAAAAATGACTGGTGAACTTGAATGAACTTACTCATTTGTGATAATAGTTTTGTTGCTGTCCTTGTATAGAAGTCATATCGAGTATGCATAAATTGTTTATGGTCCCCGTGGTTGATGACACACAGAGTTGAGATGTTTGGCAGTTATTTACGTTTCAGAGAGCTTGTTTTTTTATTATAGGGATTTATCTTGCGTTTTGCTTGATATAATTAGGCTAAATACCGTTGAACATTGACACATAATGGATTTGGTTACCTTTTGCTGTAAATTGCATAACAATAAAGTGGATGCTTCAGAGACTGTGGCGAATTTGTTTGGTTTAATCTTCCACATAGACATTTGAGAGAACATGATTTGTTTGATGATGAGAATATCTAGTAAGCTGGGTCTGTAGAAATTTGTATACCCATGTTGATGTTAATCTTGATTTTATTTTAGTTTTTATCTTTTCATTTCTAGTGTTTTGGTTTCCATTGGTAGATTGTTTTAGGTTTCCACTCTAATTAGTATAACTGGTGTGTTGACTGCTCCTTTGTGGAAACATTCCTGTGTGAGCTGCAATAAAAAACAAATAAATAAAATTGATTTTTCTATCGTAAGATCAAGTGTAAATGGATTAATTCTAGGAAACCTTCCCAATTTCTTCTGCATGCAAAACTGCTCAGACCTCCGACAGATATACCATCATATCCTTATTTTTGCTGATCCTTGCTATAAAAAAAAAAAAAAAAAAAAAAAAAAAAAAAAAAAAAAAAAAAAAAAAAAAAAAAAAAAAAAAAAAAAAAAACTCATTGGATGTGTTCTTCATAACTCTAGAAATGGACGCAGTGAATAATTTTCTATTCCTCTGGACGCGATATGCAGTTTCAAAAACACAAGTTTTCTCTTTAATGGCTCTGTATTGACTGATAAATTTAAAAAAAAATTTCACTTGTCACTCCCAATCCTTAAAAACGAAGGGAAAGAATACCACCTGTACCATCGGAACCAAAGCACATACTAAAAATACAATAAAAAAGAAATTGCGGTACAATACTACCACCCACCTGCTGCAAGGTTAAACTTGTTAGGAATAACAGAATACATCTACAAAACTTTTTTTTTTTATTTGGAAAATGTGAATTGACTGAATTTAATTTTGACGTTAGGTAGGAAAATGAATCATTAAATAGGGCCAAAGTCTTTTAATATTGAAAAAAATATACATGATTTTTTTTTTTAACGAGTTTCTGTACAATTTTTACATTGCTGATGCACAGTTATCACTTACACTGATTAATGTCTGACCATATTTCATAACTTTTTTTATTTTCAAAGATTTACATTTTTGTCATCAACATATACTTACTTTCAACATAATGCTATAGTATGAATTCGACTAAGATGAAAAATAAGAAAGGAAGGTCATGAAAATCAGAACACGAATTTATTAAACATATATAAATTGTTAGAATTAAATAAAAACTCAGAAAGCTAACAAATCAGAAATAAAAGTAAAATTTACTAAGAAAATATCTCGATTATTTTTTTAAATTATTGTATATATATTTTTTAAAGTTGATATTTTACTATAACACTATATATTTAAAAAATAGATTCTACTTTATTATATGCCAAGTTTCGCCCTACAGTACCAAGCTCAATTGTACTACGTCTGCTATCAATAAAATTTCAAAGTGCTCAAAGTTACTATAATTAATGTTTTTATGGCATGTATTTCTACAATAACAGATTATTATGCCCTATATATTGAAAGAAAACACTCGGGTTTAATACTATTGCGAATACAGATTAAAACAGGTAATAAACATTTTGCAATACTCATATATTTTTTCGAACATATAATTTATTTGATAAGAAGGAAGGAAAAAAGGAACGAAGATTAAAGACTAATATAATTTAAAACATTGTCCAAGTGCCGCTTGTGAATACAATTTGTAAAAAATATAAACGATAAGACATTTTATTTTCATTTTCCCCGGGCGATACTTATTTAATTCAGGGATTACCAAAATTTATTCAACTCATACATTCGAAATATACAAAAGATTCATATGGTAAAAAAAAAATTTCAACAGTCTAAGAAATTTGCGGCCATAAGGAGTTCAAGAGCGACCTGCGGTGCGATTGGGAATTCCGGGATCTCTGTCGAGCTGTTTGTATAGCGCACCTTATACGTGAAATACATGCATACCTTCTGCAGAACGTGAGACCTGGACAAGAGAAAACATTGAAAATACACGAATGAAAAAATTTTTAAAAAAATCATTACTCACGGTATTTCCCTAAAGTGAATTTGATTAGTTTCATTTTCCGAGAATTGACCCGGGCCTGACATCATTGCCTTGATTGTCCCAGATGTGAGTGCATGGTCACGCTTTACGATAAACTCATGGCCGTCTGATGAAATTAGTTTGACGTACATTGCCTCTGGGCCCTGGCATCCTCCGTATACCTTTTCATCTTCCTATTTTCAAATAAACAAAACCACAAAATTATAATAAACTCTCCTTACATATATATATCCAGCATTTTCAAAACTGGTGAAGTTGAGGATGGTAAAATAATAAAAACGTAGTGATGGTTAAAGGTATAATAATTTAAAATAGGAAAAGGATTAGTTTTAAATTGATATTTGAAAGGAATTGGAATGATTCCCCCTCAGTTTTTACAAAAATGAAGTACTGTCATAAAATAAACTTACCGATGATGATACCTCTTCTGATTTCTTTTTTGAGCTGGACGAGCTCTTGTTTTTTCAACGTTCGTTTTTAATTTATTTCCAAACCGACAAACAAAATGTAACAATAAAAAATAAATAAAAAAAGAAAGACAAATAATGTAAATGTAGCCTAGTTTAATACATTTTATACTACAAAATTGATTTGATTTCAAATGTGAATTCGGAAAAGCTAGTTCTTACGGTTGAGTATGAATCTTCTCTCAACGGCTCCCGCCGTCTATAGACTTCTTGGGATATCGTCGTCGAAGTTTCTTCAGCGTTCTCAGACCGGGTGAGTTGCGACTATAATGTGATTTGATGTTTAAACTGAAAGACTTAAGCTATAGATGAACCATTCGGAGTGAAACCTTGCTATTGAGGTGGTAATTTTCTGCATTAACAAGTTTACCAGGATTTTAAGGCTGGATTTCACTAAGGTGATCTTTAAAACATAAAAGATATGAGATCATGATAACTTAAAAAGAAACGATATTATTTTAAACTGTAAATTTGTTAAAAGTAAACGACAAAATTACAAATAAAACTTTTTTCTTCTATATTTATCTTGGTTTTTGTAGTGGCATTAGTAGAGTTTTAATTTCAACAGAAACAACCAGACTCATTTATTTAATTGAATTTTCGGAGCATTCTAGATAAATAAAACATATTTCCTACCTGGAATTTTCATAAAATATACCAAAACATAAAAGCTTGTATTAATATTAATTGACAATAAGCATAAATAAAGAATTTTAAAGCTAGAAAAAGTATTTGGTTAATTTTCTAATTATAAGAAATAAATAAATTCACATTAACAAGATTACAGTAGTAATAAAAAAATGTGAAAAGTTAAAAAATCATTTACTCTGAAATAAAGTACAGTAAACTACTCCATTGGCTCTGATTTATCGCCCGCACACGCTAAGGCTAAGGTTACAGTGGATGCTAGTTCTGATGAGTACGTCTGAAATCATCCTAGCAAAATGGACGAACTTATGAGTTTTATTTTCTTGACAGTCTATTGATTGAGTTATTGTTGATAGCTGGTGGGAAAACAGAGCACATTAAACACTTATTTCCCACAAGAGATGATAAAGGAGAGTTTCAAACTTACTCCTAGTTATGATTTATTGAGCAATTTTCTACCACTTTTGGTGAGAGATCTCTTTTGTGATATTTTTTGTCTTTCATGTCCCAGAAACAGCGATTCTAAAACACAAGACTAATCATTTTATCAATATCCATGGTGAAATAACCAAAACTCTCTAAATTCAATATCAGAACGCACGAAAAAGTCAAACTCATTTGAAAGCTCGAATAGTTCTGACATCGTGTGTGTTCTGAATTGGACTTCACTGCCAAAGTAAACACTCTCATTGAAAAACAAGTATTTGTTTGTTCAGATGAAACCATCAGAATAAATTATCACCAGAATTCACATCCACAGTAACCGTACCCTAGCAAATCTTGGCTGATGAAGCAGTTGGTTGTCTTTCGTTGGCCAAGATTTGCTTAGTGTGAACAGTGCGTTTTAGATTAATCAGCCAAACCGCCTCATCTGAATGAGGCCTAAGAATGTGCAAACGAAAAGATCAGAAACAAACTACAGACCACCCATCAGACCCTAAAAATTGGAAGAAATGGAAAAAATACTTTCTTTTTTTTTCATGAATAATAATGGTTAACAGCACTAACTAAACAATAAACTTGTAATCATCACAGGCATGAAATCTTACTCGTTTAGTGAAGTGATAAGCATATCACTACAACAGTTGTGTCATATCGTAGACTGTTAATGTCCAATAGTGAAATCCAGCCAAATCAAAGTTGTTTGTCAGTTTTGATTATTTATTACAAGGGTAAAATATTTGTGATGAAAAGCCAAGTCATCTTTTTTATTTCAGGCTATGGCTAACCTACGGATGAGCCTATTTGTTTGACTCCGATTGAAAATAAAGGTAAAAGCTTAAGGTCGGCCCTCACCGTACTGGCCTCCGTGGGCGCCTCTTCATCATCAACTTCCCTTACCCTAGTATCTTCTTCTTCTTCGACCAAGGCTTCTTCCTCTTCTTGGACGTTCATCTTAAAACGGTTCAGAACATTTCCCCAAGGGAAGGGAAAAAATGAGGAGATGAGGAATGTATGTCGGACAGGATAGTGGTGTAATAAAAGAGATTCGGGTGTTAAAAGAAAAAAAGGTCTCACCTTCTTCTCGTCCAAGTTGTCGCCCGACATCCTTCCCACGAAATTGACTTTCTACCCGGATTCTAAGTCTGCCGGTTAAAGAATTTTCACGAGTCGGATATTTCTGGAGATCAGACTCCCGACGAGACCCTGAGGTTGAAAATTAAAAATTACTCTCCACAAACAATAAACTATGTACTAGAAATTGACGTCCGATTCTCTGGATGAAAGTGTGCAGTGTTGCAGGTTATGTGAAAAGGAAAAAATGAACGAATAACACTACAAATATGACTTTCAAGTTTCATATAAATATCAACATCGAACAATTATTACATTAAATAAAAAAGAAAAATATTAATCGATAAATTGTTTGATTAAATACTAATGAACGCAAGGGAAATTTAAACGGTAAAACTTGGAGGGGCGTCGCAGTTATCCATGACGTTTGACAGAATTTGTTGAAGAGATCGTCCACTATTATTATTACATGAAAAATGCTTTTCTTACTGTGTGGTTCGATTTGTTTGTCATAATCAAACACTTTGTTTCTATGCTTCAAACAAATTGACCGATCTTGTATGTTTTGGTCCTAATATACTGAAATAAATTGCTAAAAAATGAATAGGAATTACTGTTTTTTACTGAAGGGATATTTAATACTGAAGGGTTTTTGAAAAATAAAATAAAAGGTTTTAATTCCATAATTTTGTGTATTGGGCACAATAATTTTTTTAAACAATTAATACCGTGTATGTCCTCTGTTAGGTAAAACCTTTGTGCGCCTGTTAATCATACTGTTAATAAAGTTGTCACTATTTTCATAAGGAATTTCACTCCTTAGATGTTGCAATGCTGCACTCAGTTATTCCAGGTCAACTGGTTGCGGATGGATGATGCATCCCACATGTGCTCAATGGGATTGAGGCCTGGAGACAATGGGGGAAGAGGCAGATGGGAACTTCCCAAGTTTTCTAAACATTTCTGCCTCTATGAGTTCTAGCATTCATCCAGAAATCTAAAATCACTACCAATGAGATCCCAGGTTTGAGGGATGTAGTCCTCGATAATTTCTTGGACATAACGGACTGCGGTGAGGTTGCCTTCAACAATATTGAGTTACGTTCTCCTCCAGTGAAAATCCCGGCCCAGACTTTACACCTCCTCCAAACTGCTGTGAAGGGTGCACGGACTGGGGTATTGTACACATCCTCTTTTCTTGGAGTGCTAGGGCGCCTGCTATCACTATACAGACAGAAACGCGATTCATCTGTAAACATAACAGCATTCCAATTGGTGTTCTCTTCTAGGAGCTTGCTGCACCATAATTTCCTGAGTTGCTGTTGCTACAGGTCATCTTAGAGGGGCATATTATGTGAAGCCAATGTCCCACAAATAATTATGAATTGTTTGTGTTGATAAAAGTTTTACCAAAACATCTTGTACTTCATTTGGGATCTGGCAGGCAGTGTGGAAAGAGTTCCGTCTTACAGCAATGACAATATTTCTGCCCTCTCTGCTCTAAGATCCACTACCAGGCCTCCTATTGGCATCTCCATCTTGGAATCAGGCTAAAGCCCGGAAGACCACTGCCTCTGCGATATCCACTTGATGACTCATTTTCACAATAATATCGCGAACTTCTAGTTCATGATAATGTCTTTCTATGGTTAAAGAGAATACAACTGGATTAAAATGGAGAAAAGGTGTTCGTTTACAAATTGATTAATCCTGATTCCAGTGTTAAAAAGATGATTAACATTTGTTTGTTTTTTGCTTGTATGCTCTATTTTGTTTTGTCTAACCAACAAGAATATATCGGTCAATTTAATTCAAATTAATAGAATAAGAATAACTTCCAATATCCCCTGTTCACTTTTGAGCAGTTTATGTCTGATTGACTTACAAAATGGGTGATCATCAACTTTTCCAAGTTTGAAATATTTCTCTGTTGTCCAAATATACTTTTGTTTAAATTTATGTGAATTAAATTGTTTTAATTTAATTATTGATGAATAATTTAATTGGTCTTTCTTTTTATCATTTTGGTCTGCCTATCCTTGCCCTTTTGGTTAGCTTCTCGCCATAGTAAGTGATGGGTCATTCCTCACCCTACCGATCCTAACAGGATATCTCACAATTCATGTTTTACTTATATCTGTTAAAAATTGTATCTGCACACCTCGGGTCACTGCAGGCACCCCAGATTTGGTGTATACAGAAGTAGCATGCCACACTCCTCAGATGGTCTATAAGGGGTGCATCGCATCGTCAGGGTTTATTCCAAGAGCTGGAAAATAACCCGAGGAGGTTGTTTGCCTTGATTGAGAGGAAAAAGGGAAGATAAGCAAGGTTAGAGTATATACATGTAACATTTATTTATAATTAATTGGTATATAGTTGGGAGTGTGTTGATTGTAATACTTTTTGAGATTAAAAAAATATGTATAAATAAAAAAATATAAAAAAATATATATATAACCAACATAAATCAAAATTGTATTTCCATACAAATTAAAATAAATTAATTAACACAGGTTTAATTAAAAAAATTAAAGCTTTTTGTTTTATATTTTACAAAAAATTTTAAAAAGGAAGCTTTCTCTAAATCCTCCCTGGTTTCTATCTCTTGTCGGTTTTACTCTTGTGGCCTTTTTCCTGAAAAATTGTGTATTTGAGATGATTTAAGTTTTAAAGGTTGATTTTAATATTAAATACCTGGTACACAATACTTTTCCCTGAGACCTTGAACAGTCCATTCTGTGACTCCTTCCTCGGCTAAGTCTTGGTGCCTGTTGTTGAAGCTCTTGGTCAGTTTGTCCATGAGAGACCAGACCATGTCCTTGAAGAAGAAGTTTGTAATAATTTTGTAAAGCTGTTTTTATTAGAAGTTACCTTTTCAGAGCAGGTGAGGAAGTCAAGGCTGAGCCGGAACCTATCTGTTTTAGAGATGGTATCGAGGACGCTCACGACGAAGAGTATGTCTTCTGTCGTATTAGGGAATGCGGAAAGTGCTTCGACTATGTCGCCTAGGACACCGACTGGCACCTCTCGGCGCAGACCTCTGCTCAACTCTTCCGCTCCAGACTCCCTGAGGTAGAAGTAGCGTTGCGTCGGAGTTGGGATGCGAGACAGTATATCGTGGAAAGTCTGCGGCGCCTCGTCCCAAACTTGATTCGACATGGTTGCAGTCTCAGCGGACCCTTGGCTCCTTATAGGGTTCCAGACCCGTTTGAAGCCGTCTTCTGCGATTTTGTCCTTCTTGTCCAGAGGACGGAGGTGGGCGGCGTTCACACGATCTCTGAAACACCGTTGACATTAGTCAATAAAGCGATGGTAGACTGAATTTCAAGCTAGTCTATTTCAGAACGCGGCTTCACCTGAATTCCTCATAAGATGAGACTTTTCGATCCGTGACGGCTAGGATTTTAGCCTTGTTCTGTAAATCGTAGAGCCGGTCGGCTTCGACTGTCTTACGAACCTCCTCTTCCAACGAGGTCAAGTCGATGACACGAGAAAGCTCCCTGGCCATTTACGGCCTTCTTCTAGTCCAGAGAGACCTCGCCCGCCGGTTAAAATTATTTTCCGATCCGTAAAAATAGAAATAACGCCTAAAAACTCAAAAATCAAAGCGGAGTTTGCGGTCAAAACTCAAAAAACGATATCATGTGTTTACTGTTGCTATCGACTCGAGCGAAGCAGTGTTGTTCCGTCTGCTCATGTCTTTTACCTTTTTTATGTTTGCATTTATTGATTTATTTATATATACATACGGATTTTTTATGGCCTTATGAACTTATTATATTAGCCAAGGAACGTGATAACGCGATCTTTTTTTTGGGAGAGGGAGGGTTGCTGAAAAAAAGGGGCGATGCCGACGGTGGGAATCGAACCACCGACTGGGTCGGCTGAAAGGCTGATGCAGGAAGAAAAAACTTAAATGTGCCAATCTTATATTTAAGATTGTTTTGCAATGATGATTAAAATAGGTCGAACATCCAGAATGTACGTAAATGAAAAAGTGGTCGTTACTTCTAATACTGAAAACAGAAGAAAGCAAATTCAGTTATTACTGACAAGCTTTCGACTTATTTTTAGGTCTTCATCAGTCCCAACATTGTCAAGGACATATTTAAGATTGGTTTGCCCTGATGATGGCCTTAGAATAGGTCGAAAGTTTGGCATTAGCAACTAAATTTGCTTTCTTCTTCTTCAAAACCATACCTTATTCCAGAATGTTCGTATGTATATATAAATTCCTTGGCCATGTTGGAACTGAGTCGGCCTTCAAGGAAATTTGAGATCGCTTGTAAAAAACTTAAATATGTCAATCTGTAGACATATTTAAGATTGTTTTGCCGTGATGATGAGTATTAGCAGCCAGAAATGTTGAAAGGAAAAAAGTAATCAATAATCTTATTGTGAAACGACTACCAGGGAAAACTGTTAAGTGTGGTTCCATAGGCCATAGCTAGTGACAAAGCCGACAATGAAAACGTATGGTTATAGTGTCCCATCGAATATTGTATAAAGATGTATACTTACATTGAGAAATTTATGCATAGGAGACGGTTTGAAACTAAAAATTGATAGGACGATATTACACCGCAAAATATTAACTTGGGAATAAAAAGGGAGATAAGGTGCACATCCTTTGAATATATTTAGAGGGCCGAGGAGATATCAAAAGGCCACTTGTTTTGAAACGTATACAATTCCCAGTCCATCTAGCATACGCTATGACCATAAGCCACAAAGACAAAGTTTTGAGAAGATCATAAATTCAAAAAACACAGTACTTACACATGGCCAATGTAGCGCTATCGAGGTATATGGCAAAGATGGGCATTTAAAAAATGCATAGAAAATATTGTTTTCGACGAAACGTTAGTGTAATTTATAATTATTTTTTTTAATGAGCCTGCCAAAAATCGAGTTGGGCGGAAGTTTTTTAGTTTATTCTGTATGGCGTTAACCATTGAGTCCCCCGTCTTGTACTTACAGAACACCACAAAACACCAAAATCAGTACTTAATACTTTCCTGTCGTTACATAGCACTGGGCTTTGGTAGTTTCCGATGAATTAGTGCGCCCGTTCTCGTTACCTTTACTTGTCAGCGTTTGGGCTTCTCGTCATCTTCAGTGCAAACTTTGTGGGGTGTCGATACTTTACAAAAGGACACATCTGATGGAATAACACACAGCCGAAATCCCCCCCCCCCAGACAACGGGGTATCTAAACTTGTCGGCGTACCAAAACGTGAGGTTAGGCTATGTTTTATTTTATTTTATTTGCATTAAGGGACAGGAACCACCAAGGTCATTTTCGCCCTGAAATTTTGTCCTAGGGCTCCTATCCGGCCGGGCCTATATTTACTTTTTATTCATTTAATTCTTCTTCTTGTTATCAGTATACTACATCATATTTTATTTATTAAATATGCTGCTGTCAAAATTGCTATATATGCTGAATAATTCGGCAATATTTTCTTTGCTGTCCCCTAATATTTTATACGGCGTATTCGGGGGAGAATAAAATTGTCTTAAGTCATGATATATGCAATATGATAGAAAAATGTTTTCTTGTTATTATTTCATTGCGGAGGGTCATGGGCCATTAAGTGACCCTTGGTGGTCCGGCAGTGTCCTATTCTCAACCTACTCAATTCAACCTCCCCCTTCTCTTCAACTTAAACGATGAAGACCATGCCTGTACGTTACACTTGATTCATGAAGCTTGTTGTTTGTAACTGAATGCGAGGTTTATTGCCATTGTAAATATGTTTTCTCCCTAATGGCCGCAATGAGGTAATCCTTGCTTACCTCCACAACAGGGTTTCCATCTCCAACTGCCTCCTTGGCATGTTCTCTCTCATTGCCAAGAATACCCGAATGACCAGGAATCCAGAGAAAAAATACTCTTTTACCTTGCTGTTCAAGACGTCTCAATGAGTACAATAGATCCCGTACCATAAGTTTATTGCTGAAAGGATGATGAAATGTTTGCAAGGCAGCCATAACCATTATTTGCTCATTTGGATGGATAATGTTGAGGGATTTTTTATGGCTATAATTTCGGCGCTATAGTTGCTTGCTAGGGGATTTAGTTAAAATAAATATTTCCTTTTTCCACCGATACTTGCACACCAACACCGCTGACGTCCCTGTAACCATCTGTATATACATATGTCGCAGAGGGCAGTGCGTTTTTTATTGTTTGGAACTCCTGTTTGTATATGTAGTCAGGAGTGGTGACTTTATTATATTTCGCCAGTGATAGTAGAAATTTAGGGTCGGGTAAAAGCCAGGGGGGATAATCGATTTGGTTTCTTATTTGATTGGGGGCACTGAAAACTGCATAAACTGCAAACTGTAGCAGCAAATACCATCGGGCAAAGGAGGTGTAGAAATAGGTTAGGCAGACTAAAACGATCGGAAACGAACTGGTCTATCACCCCTTAGATCACAAGAAGAAATGTATAGTGCGACTAGTATAGCTTAGTAGGTCTTGTCTTCTCAAAAATTTATCTGATCTATTGTAATGTAACCGTTGCAGATCCTCAATTGCCTGATCTTGAACCCAGATCTTCTGTTGGTTTTGTATCCTCTGATGCTGCTTGGCTATCAAACATGGTTAGACCAGGTAGTTTTATACTTACCGAAGAACCTCGTGCCTGGTAAGTGCATAAGAGTTAGAATTTAATAAAGTTTTGTTTAGTGAATTTTTTGATTTTCGTTGAATCCAAGCTATTGTATTCTTATTGGTTGATCTCAGTCCAATATGTTTATTTTAAAAGTGCCAAATTATTAATAATCTTAATAATTTGAAGATAACCAGGACTATACCAGTCAGCAGGCGTCCTGTTATTTTAATGTATTCGCGTATCAAAACAAAACAAATGTAGAATGATTTTTTTTTTTTTTTTAATAAGATTAATTGTGAAAAATAACTTTTAGATAGTACGGTAGGTGAGTGGTGTAAAATCCTCTTTGCATTGTAGATGAAATTCCTGGATAATATGGCATTATACATGTTCTTTCAAGTATCCATGGAAACCCCCCAAAAAATTTGAAATAATTCAAATTAGTTTTTATTTATTTTTCCTGTAGTTTATAGTTTTCTGTTCAGACTTTCCCCCGTTTCTAATTTTCTTTTGGCCCTTTGTTAAATTCGCGAACGCCGTTTTTCCAGTGCGCCGCGGAAGAGAACAAATTAAAAGATGGACAAACTCACATCAAAGGCGTAAGTAAGCCGTTTTTTATCAAACGCGTACATTTAGGATTTCAAATCGTTTCCCTCAGGGCAGCGTGCTCGCTCCTTTCCTTTACTCAATTTATACCTCCGACCTACCTACGCAACCTAACACTATCACCTTCATCTTTGCCGATGATACCGCAATCCTTTTTCATGATAAAGATTCCCCGTAATCTCCAAAATCATCTTCACATCCTAGACGACTCGCTCCGTCAAACTAGTCGAAACTAAATCAACAAGCATAATACTTACCCTAAACAAGAAAACGCTCCCTCTAGTATACCTCAAAAACGTTCCCATCCCAATTGCGAACCATGTACGATACCTCAGACTGTACCTGACCAAACGACTGACGAAGAACTTCCTGACTTAAGCGCACAGACTGTAACATACGATTTTTCATGCTTAAACGACTACTGGACAGACGATCAACACTCTCACTAACAAACAAAAGAAAAATTTACATTGCCCTCCTGGCCCCCATTTGGACATACGGACTTGAACTTTACGGGACTGCTAAGCGTTCCAACCTCAATCGAATCCCTTCAATCGAAAGTCCTCAGAACAATAATCAACGCCCCTTTCTATGTATACAATCACACCATCCTTACGACCTACACATCCCTCTTGTTACCGAGCTAGCCCAATCCCGCTACAAAACGTTCCATTCCAAACTAACCTATCACCCGAATCCTTTTGTCAAAAACCTGTCATCCACCACATTACCTAATAATCCCAACAGAAGACTGAGGCGTCGTTGGCCCCGCGACAACCTTTACACTTGACATCGGTCTTCTAGGACGGAGTTCATATCGCTCATCGTATTGATGTACTAACGGCTACCATCACTGGATGGTAGCTGTTCAAGCTTTCATGCTACTGTTATAATTGTTTACATGTAAATATTATATGTTTTACTTGTTTCGTCGAAGAATGCAGTTCTTAAAAAAAATAAATAAATAAAATCGTTTCCCTTTTTCAGACTTACGCCGAAAAACACAAAAAGCCTTACACGGTAGGTAAATCTGTTGTAACTTGTCCTTTTTTCCATGCTTGTAACTTTCTTTTTCTTCTTTTTTCTTTGACCTCAGTATCTCCCCTTTCATCAAATTCCTGAGAGAGATGAAGGACGTCGTCGAGGTCGCTGAATACGCCGAGGATCGACTGTATTTCATAACGGTGCGGAACAAAAGAGAAATGAAGAGCACACCGTATGTCCATTTTTTCAACACGGACGATACGCTCATCTACCACAACTTCTACGGTGACTTTGGCCCCCTTAATCTCGGAAAACTTTACAGGTTTGCTAAATTACTACCTTCGCTTAGATCGGTTTCTTGTCCTTAACGATTTGTTTCAGGTTTTGTTGTATGCTATTTGCCAAATTGACATCGAAGAATTACATAAACAAAAAGCTTGTTTATTGGACGATATTGGACAAGAAAAAGAGAGCCAATGCTGCGTTTCTCATATCCGCTTTCGCTGTCATCTACCTCAACAGGAGTCCGAGGGATGCCATTGGTCCGATATTGAAGACAAAGCATCCTATAGCGCCTTTTGTTGATGCCAACATGAGTGAGTCTTTTGTTTTCTTTCTTTTAGTGTAGTTATTAAATTGTTTTTGGTACATCAGACGGGGTCAACGAGGCTTTTACGATACGAATAATAGACTGCCTTAACGGGCTTAACAGGGCTTTCTACTTCGGTCTCGTCTGCTTCTCAGATTTCGATTTAATAGAGTACGAAACGTACGAAGGGACTAACCTCGACAACCCCGGTGACCTGTCTTGGATCGTGCCCAAGAAGCTGCTTGCGTTTGCCGGCCCTTGTGGCGAGAGGAACGGCAATTGCCCAGTCGAGTTTTACATAGGGTACTTCAAGGCGAATCAAGTCGTATGCGTCATCAGGCTAAATAAAAGCAGATATGACGCTGGCATGTAAGTTATGATAGTTAAGTTTGAGATGAACTTTAATAACCAATCGTCTTAAAGTTTCATAAACCACGGGATAGACCATTTCAACATGTACTTCCCTGACGGATCGACTCCTCCTCGAGGGCTCGTGCAGGATTTTCTTGACATCGTAGAGAAGTGTCCAGGAGCAGTGGCAGTGCATTGCAAGGCAGGGCTCGGGAGGACCGGCTGCCTCATCGGCGCGTACCTAATGAAGCACTACAAAATGTCCTCCAGCGAGGCGATCGCCTGGATGAGGATCTGCAGGCCCGGCTGCGTCATCGGCGCGCAGCAGACCTGGCTCGACGGTATGCAGCCGTCGCTGTGGAGGGCCGGCGAGACCTATAGGGATCTTCACCACGGTTCTCCAGAAAAGATGAGACAGCACAAATACGGTATATATAGCGTAAGGGCGAAGACTGCGAGGGAAAACAAACAGGATCTCCACTCCCCGTCTCAGTACAAAGGTCGGTTTGTTCTACTGCTTTGTTATATTAAAATAAAAAACTACGTGACTGTATTTTTTTACAGAAAAGTATCTGACTTCAGTAGCGGATTTCGAGAAAAGAAGACAGTTCGCTGTCGATGATCTCTCCTACTTCCATTTCAAAGGTAAAAATTGCGTTTTATTGTGAGATTTCCTCTTGGAATCTGAGGAGGTGATGACCTGTAGTTTGATCTGTCCATCCTCATTGTTTTGGTCTGACAGTTTTGACTTCTAACCAAAGTGGTTGTTCTGTTATGACACCACACACATCGGAAATCCAATCAGGCAGACCAAAGCAGGGACTGGGCAAAACGATCGAAGCAAATATCACATTTCTTGTATTTTTAGAACGATTGAAGAACAAACAGCAGAACGAAAGCGATCTCCTCGTCCGGGAACCGTCCAACACCCAAGGCGACCTCCTCCTCTCGGCGAGACTCGCCAACCTCAAAGGTTCCAGAGACCAAGATGCCGAAAAGAAGCCGACCAACCCCTGAGGCGCACGCCGAGGAATATGTTTGTCCGTCGTTTTAATCGAATAAAATTTTTTTCGACCAATTTCCAGTTCAATTTCGTCCATATTTAAGAAGTAGTCACTTACCGATGGTCCTGTGTAGTCTTCTACTTGACTCCTTAATCCCCCTCGGCCGTACAAAACACTTTATATTATTATTTGGAGATCGTGAGATGTGGTCTGGTGTGAATGTGTTAGAAAAACATTTTCTTTATCGTGCCAACGTTTCGATCTTTATTGAGATCATCTTCAGGGCCTTGTGTTTTCTGAAACCTACGTCACACCAGACCCCATTTCACGATCTCCAAATAATCATTGGCTGACGGTCACTAAACACCACACATTTCTACATGAGAAGAACGAAGAACATGGGATTTTATGAACAGATTTCAACTACATATGGACACCACGCAAAGAGTATTCTGAAGGACATCGCCAACAATGAGTAGAAACTTGCATCGGCTATCAATCAGAGAACTATTTTGTTGAAATGCAAACAACCCAATGCACAAGATCACTAAACACCACACACTTTATATTATATTAAATGTTAAAAATATGCGAAAAGTATGAAACGTTTAAGTTTTTAAGGTATTGAGTATAAACAAAGGGCAAATTTGGTAGGCAGGGCAGGCAAATCATTGGGGTCCACAAAGGTCCTCAAATTTACCATTATACCATAGTGCCTTTTGAATATATTTTAATGGATGAACTGAGCCGCCAGGTGTTTATGATAATAAAAAAAAATGAAATGTAATATGTAAAACCTTTAGGTAGGAGGAAAAAGAGAACAGAATGAAACGCATCAACATTTTACATTGAACACAGATGGCATATTTATTTTATTTGAGATAGTTAACAATAATTTTATTTATAATACAAATATTTACAATACGCACAAATGATATTATTATCGGTTTCTTTTCTTTTTTTTTTGCTATATTTTCATTTGAATATTAGATTTTATCTGGTAGATAACTGTTATCACAATTATAAGAAAGACATCAAATTCTAAGTCGAAACTTGGTACTGGGTGGGGAGAAGAAATTCGTATAGTTGGAAAGGGGTTTGGATTTTTTTTAAATTTACAATTTTCGATTACGAAAAGATTTTTCAATAAGCGAACTGTTTGGTCGCTTGTTAGGCAGTTATTTTCATGTTCCATCACTACAAGTTGGTCGTCTTTTAAAACTTATCGAATTCCAAAATTATATCGTTTTCTTTACTTAAACACTCTGATAACGGTTGTTTTAGGCCTTATTTTTTTGTTTAAATTTTGGTTCCGTTTTTAGAGGACACTAGAGGCCTCTGGTACGACCTTTGGACCTTCTTTGGCTCTCTCGCGTCTCAATTTCGCCCTTTTTCTCTTGCCCTCTTCTTCTCGTCGCCTTTCCCAAAGGAACAGAGCTTCGTGGAAGTCGTCCGAGCTCAGGTTGCGCTCCTGGATGTGAAGGATGGAGCTGAGAGCGCCTTCCGTAGTTGACTTGGTGAACTTGAATATCTCGCCGGCCTCCTCTTCCGGGTCAGTCAAGCTCGAAGACCGTCCTTTGCCACCTAATCGTGTTCAAAACGTCACAAGGTAAAACTCTGCGATGTACGGAAAAAACCTACCTGGAGACCTGGCTTCGGGTGTTCTGCAGATGCTGACACCGGATATGTAAAGGTTCGGCGATTTCGGGATCCCCGAGCCATCGGAGAGTTCACGGATCGCCTCTAATTTCTGCCCTTCGACTGAAGACGATTCCGACGACAGGGAGAAAGATGAGATTTTCTCACGGGACAGTGATAGACAGCCTTCAAGAGCTGGCCGTTTTCCGATAGAACATAGTTTCCTTAGTCCCTGAAAAAAAAATTCAGTGGGTAGATTAAAATTTGACAATAAATGGAACCCTTTGAACAACAGTACGACTTCCTACATGCATCAGCGGGAGACTCTTTCACTCCATTTCCTGGAGGTTTAAAATCAGTATTGGGTGATTTGTACTTCCTGTATTTTACGTTTATTCAGGCATTAATTTAGCCAATCATTTTACGTTTGTTGTGTACTTTTTAGTGTTACCTAATTTTGAATAGGTGAAAGTATCAATAAATCACCTTATGAGACATCTGAGAGGTGATGGACCTTCGGTTAGGTCATCTTCGGTCATACATGCTCGCCCATCATTGGTCTGTAAAAAATTTATCCAGTTTTGTCCTTGTCCGTACTTTACCAAACAACCCAAGCTGACAGAGAGTTCAGTCATTGGTAAAGACCAAACCACTGAATATGCTTGAAGGCAAATTTCCAGACCAGGATGATCTGGAGATAATTAAACTATCAACTACTGAAACTTCTATGTTACTTTGACTGACGGTCGAAAAATATAATCTACAGTCCAACCATTGAAGACGGCAAAATGAGATCATACCAGGGAGCATTGAAAGATCACCGAAGGACACATAAGGCCAGCTTATTTCGCTCTAATGGCTAAATAATTTTCTGATTGATTTTGGTTTAGTTAATTTTGTTTTTTACGGAATAAACTGTATTTTTGGCAGTATAGTTGAAAACCACTATTCTTTACTGAACTGTGTTTTACCAATGATTCTGATGGTTCGTCGAGGCTGCTCTGCTCCGGGGACGCTTTGACCCTCGAACCTCTCCTCAGCTCTTCAGGCCGGTCGTCGTGTTGTGAAGAGTGGTCCGAATCCAGGTGGTACCTCGGCTCTTCCCTGGAGGCAGACTTGCCGACCCGGCCGAGTTCGCCGGTCGAATGAGACCTGCGCAAGTTCGGGTACTCCTGGTCCAGGAAGACACCGTTCTGGTGTACGTCACTTATTTGGAAACGGCCGTCTTCCCCTTTGGCCCTATTTAAAAACAACGGCATATCACAGTTCAATTTGTTATTGAAAGTTTCTGCCCGTTTACCTGATGTCTCGCAGAGTTTTCCCCCAGCCCTCTGGGATCTCTAAGAGGACCCCAGGTGTTTCGAGGGACTTTGCGTCGAGCGACTTGAGGAAATCTCTGACTGTCTGGTTCTTCACAGAATCTTGTAGGGATCTCTCAATCGCCAAATTAAGCTCTGGGTCGACTGGAATATTGAAAAGTACACATAACGTTTAAAATCAACGGGTCTAATGTTGTGAAGTTTCTTCTTGAGGTCTGCTGGGTGATGGAGTTGGCAGTTAGGTCGTTTCAGATCATTCTGGTCTGCCTATGCTATTCTGCATTTCTCCACCTTCACTGCTTGATCTGTGACCCTGTCTGCTTGTGAGATTCCTGCAGCCTGACAGAATAACATACAGACCAACCATCAGATACCGAAATGCTGACAGACCAAACCAAGATAACAGACTAGGATGACGGAAACGACCAAACTACCACTTAATTATTGGTTGTTAAGGTTCAACATTACACACATCATAAACATTTGGAAAACCTTATTACGCTTTACCTTGTTCTGAGATGTTGACTGCCGCCGCCCTAAGATCCACTGCTCCGACACCTTTCAGCCTTAGCATTTCTTCTTCGATCATCTGCAGGCGAGACATTTCCAGGGCGATGACAAGTTCCATGGAATCATCACCGGTAACTGGAAGATAACCTACGGAAGTGAAAGGTTTAGTCGAAATGATTTTGTAACTGAACTGTAAAACTGAAATTACCAGTGAAATTTTCCGAGTTGCAAGTCGCTTGCGGAACTTTTTCTTCATCAAACTGTAACACACAAAATACCGCATGAATTCGTTTGTTTGCTTTGTTGTTTCTTTTTTATAACCATTTTCTTTTCAGTTTTTTCTTCCTGGTCATCCGAAGAATCTATTGCAGCTGATCGACAGAACTCTAGCCGTCGTTTCTTTGTTATACACGTTGTTTTAACTATCACCGACTTTGGTGTCTTAAGATAGGGGCGGGCTAGTATTTCGGAAAGACGTTCCGTGGCTTCCTCGAAGTCCGACTGTCGATAAAGAAAAGTTTGTTTAAAAAGAAAGTAATCGATAAATGAAGACATAGAGACAATTCACCTGCATGAGATCATAAACGGTTTTTGATGATCCTTCTTCTAAAAAGTATCCGTGAACATAGGAACCACAGAGGATCCTTCGAGCCTTGAGCAGTTCTTTAACACCATCCTCGATAAACACAGCACAGTTGGTGCTTTCTAAAAAGAAATGTACTAGAGACAAAAGTTTTCCCTAGTGACTAATACCACTTACTGTCTTTTTTGGCCCCAGCGAGAGCTTGCATCTTTTGTTTCACGTTTCTGAGCAGGGGCTCTTCCATCTTCCTGCTTATTTCGTGCTTCCTGAACTTAGAGTAATAGGCGAGGAATCTAGAGAGTTCTCCGGACTCCCTCGAATTCCGTATCGCCTCCGTGACTACACTCGCCTGTTTTTCTTCAGCCCTTTTGACCGCGTCGACCCGGTTGCAGCGGAAGTAACCACCCGTAGAAGAGCTATGCTTCTTCCACGACTCGAGACAAACCCAGCAGAAATCGTGCTTGCATTTGAAACATCGGATGTGGTTGCAACCGTCACCTTTCTGGATGTGGGAGCCGCAGTTGGGGCATGGCTTGGAGTTGGTACAGAGCCATAGGGAGTTGGCCACCTCTTGGGAACGGTTTGACACTGTCTCGAGTTCTTCGGGCTTCACCTTTGCTATTTGCGATAGCCATTTTTTCCATTCTTCGCAGCTGCTCGGCGCGTGCGCCTCTCCAAGGCATTCCCAACAGAAAAAATGACCAGCTCCGCAATCGACACAGTGTGAAAAGCTACCGTCCGATTGGGAAAAACGCACCGCCCGGCCACAGCTCACGAAAGGGCACCATTTTATATTTTTATTTTGCTCCACGAAATCCTCGATGTCGAATTGCATGTAGTTATCGGAAACGGCTTTTGCAACCGTTTCGTGTAGAAACTCAGGGGTGACTTGGATAGTGCAGTCCGCCGCTGGACAAAGGATGCGCGACACCTCTCCTTGCGCTACTTTCCCCGTGAGATAGATTTCCCAGCATTCCGGGCAAAACTCGTGTCCGCATTCGAGACATTTTCCGTGTTCGTAAGTGCAGAAACATATACCACACTGGAAGACAGACATAATTTATACCACTCAGGGCGAACCATACGAAAACAGTGACTTACTGTAAAATCTTTGCTTTCTTCAAACTTGAAATTTTCAAAATCGTCTAGTGGTTCCCTAGAGAAGTCTCGGAGCGCTGTCAGGGGGATCGGTACGCCGGCGTTTAGGCAGCACTGTGCCGGGTCTGCTATCCATTTTTCGAGAAGAGTCTCTCTGGACCACTCTAATAAACCGTATTTATAAAAAAAAATGTTTAATTGTTAAATATAAAGCGTTACCATTTTCACGGAGGAGCGCTTGGGCCGTAGAGAGCGATACGTTCAACATATCGGATGTATCGAGAAGCAACTCGTCTTTCACTTCACGGAGATCTTCCGGCCTCAAACCTGAGTAGATCTGTTCCGACCAAACGAGCGAAGAGTTCGAAGAGATTTCCGCTTCGTTCACGACGTCCGAAGTTTCCGTCTGGTCAGAAAAAAACATACGGGCATATTACAAGGTATGGTGTTTGGTACAATGTGAAACTTACAAAGACCATCTTTGCCTCGAGGATCCGAGCCAAGTTGTGATGGCGCTGTGCGGTCGCCAAATCGCAAGCAGTCATACGGGCATCGTTTTCAGCAAAAACGCTGGCACCCGCAGCTATCAGAAGCTGTGCACAACGCGTCAGGCCGTTCAAAGCAGCATGGTGTAAAGCTGTGTTTCCTTCCTAAGCACAGAATTTAAAAAAAAAAATCAACGTAGATTGGCTCATTTGGCAGTAAAGACATATTTTCCGTTTCTTTAGATTGAATGTCATCCAAATGGCTCTTTATCTTATGTTTGTTACATATGTTTTGGTGTAGTTTAGTGTAATGGTGTAAGAATTGCTTTTATTTAACCAAACTCACCACATCTTTTGAATCTAGCTCGATCCTCTCTTTCTCACCGGTTTCTAGTATGACACCACGCCACTGGAGCACGATGCTGACGCACGTGGACTTACGCTCGTGTGCTGAGTAGGACTTGTGCTGTCCCAGTGCACAACAAGAATGGAGCACAGTCTCATTCGAACCGTTCCGTTTGTTCGGATTGCCACCAGAATCGTTCAGGAACATCCTGAGCAATGGTGACAGTATACAATCGGAGAAGATGAGTCGGTAGACTTACGGTTGACTTACCTCAGTAGGTGCTTCATACCGTGGCGCGCTGCATAATGGAGGGCTGTGTTGTGATTCTGCGCTTCGCCAAAACTCAAGTTCGGATCGAAGTTTTTTCTCACATCAGGGCTACCTTGGTATATCTGAAATCAGGCACATTTTAAAAGTTGAACTTTTAAGAAATGCGTTTCCTAAAGGATTAAAATTATTTCGAGTTAGGTATCATTTTGGCTAAGAGATTGCAATCGTACTCTATATGATGATCATTCTTTATATTCATATGGATCTTCGATGAGCAAAGATAACATAGGCAACATTATGGCTTTTGTTTAATTGTTCCTATTTCGTACACCTATAAATTTACTATTTGGCTTTTCCTATTTAACGTATTGAAAGATAGTTGACACAAACGTCTGTACACTGGGATAAGTGAAGTGTACCTGCATGGCGGCGAACTCATCTCCGTTTTGTATGTACTTTTTGAATTTTGACGAAGGGCTCCCCATCACTTTCTCAAGGCCTTGCCCCTCCGCCTCCTACTCATATCATGTTAGTGGAATAAGATGGAGTTCCATTCAGATTTCTTCTGGGCCAAGTGGTAGCATCTTGGCCGGGCGGCGCACTCTCTCCCGGAGAGAGGTTCTGCTGGGCGGAGATCAATACTCCTGGAGGCGGGGGTTTGGAGGCGGCAAAAATGTACGAAATAAAAATGTGTGCTGAACGAGTAAAGTTAGAACGATACTTCAAACCCTGTCGTCTGGAAAGTTTTAGAATATTTGTCATTGAAACACTGAAACAGAGCGAAACAGGACCATGCTCCAGTTGATGTAAAACCTAATAGACAGACTGTTCACTAACTTTTTAACTCTTTGCTGGGAGAAGAACAATGCTTGTTAACTCCTCTCACGACAAATCCATGTCATTTGTAAATTTAACTCATTCATGTTGTAAATATTACAAATTGTCATAAATATATTAAATTTAAAAAAACGTTAAAACACGAAAGTACAATGTTAGACAACAGAAAGCTACGTTATTACATGGGTTAAAATAAAAATCAATCAGTATAGATTTAAAAATTAAATTTTATCACACTTTGGCCTATTTTTCTCATGAATGCACGCCAGTTCTTGGCTCCGTATATAGAGCGAGTAGTCAAGCCACCACATATACGATATGTAAACATCATCCAGCTTCTCTGTCCCTTGTTCCGCTTTTGTACAAAACAATCTTGTATCACTTATCCTGATATTTAATTCCTGCCAAAAGATGCATTTATTACCATAAATAAAAGTTATAAGAATTACACAATCGACCTATACTTAAATAAGTTTCGGACTTTGTGTGTGGGGTAATGGAGGAATCATCAAATCAATCAATTTAACTAAGTTTATGTTTGTAAGTGCTTAATTATAATGAAACATTTAAAATTATATTTTTGTCCTGATTTCCGTGGTCAGGATGGACGAGACATTATGAAATATAAAGAAAAGAAACAGGTAACGTGTTGAAGAAACGGTACGAAGTACCGTTATTATCAACTCAGGTCAAAAGTTTACCCAAAAGCACAAGGGTGGCATTGTCTTACCAGCTAAGTGAGTATAACTTTCTATTAACATTTATATTATATTGTTTTAATTTTTATAAGTAAAATGTACATGCATACATACAACTAGGTTACATGATTAGAGAAGGATATGCGAACTGCCTTTTTGTATTTGTTGTACGGGCGTGTTTAATTCTTGAACATTTTTAAACAAAATTATTCAATTTTTTTTTTTTGTTAAATTAATAGTTTACAGTACTTACATACTTAGTTTGATTAATACACCAAACTATTGAATTTTTATGTGTGGTGATTAGTGACCGTTAATCGATATTTATTTAGAAATCGTGAGATGCGGTCTGGTGTGATGTAGGTTTCAGAAAAACATTTCCTTTATCGTGCCAACGTTTCGATCTTTATTGAGATCATCTTCAGGGCCTGGGATTTACAAACATTGTTTACATATAACAATTACATTTTGGATGTGGAAAGGTACAATGCAAAATATATTTTTTATATATTCAATCAATTTTAAATAAGCATGGGCAGTACAAAAAATTCCCATGGTAAGAAAAAAAATAATAAACCAAAACCTTACATAAAAAGATTAATTAATTGAAAGAAGTGATTTGGTCAATCAGACCACTAAATATAATGGGAATAATAATCAAGAAGTCGAACAAAATTGAGTAAATGTTTTGTATAAAGTAAGACAATACGAATAGAGTACAAGTAAATAAAATTTATTTTTCACATTTTAGAATCAGTAAATAATTTACAAGTTGCGATCTCAGTTTTAATCAGAGAAAACTATTTTCCCAAAGAAAGATAGAACTAAAAACATTGAAATACACTGAAAGGCAAAAAAAATCGTATTTTGTTGTTAAAATACACTATCACATTATATGTATTTCTTTTTATTTATTACTTTATTAATTGCAGTTATATTAAAACCAGGTAATAATCTGTTAGTCAAATTTATTCTATGAATAACTGATTATCCAGTGTTTTGGTGAATTTTCTTTGAAACCGTAATAATAAAATAATTGTTATTAAATTTCTAGATTGCTGATCCGTTTAATTTGGTTTACAATGGTTTGGTGTTAAAAACATTGGAATAAATACAATGATAAAAATACATCTACTTTGAAATAAACACAAAATACGTGTCTTCGGTTTGTTTTGTCTTTGAGTATATTAAGTTAATTATTGATCTTTGGGACAAAATAATTGAAAAACTATAAACTTTGAATGTTGCATGGTAGCTTGTTTGATAGTGAAATCTTTGAATTTATTTAGATAAAGTATTTATACATACTTTATCGTGCCACCAATTAAAGCTAATATATTTATACACGTGTACAGTCTATTTATAGTATATTTCAGAATTATTTTGTAATTTGGTCTTATTTATTTTTAATTGTAGTAGGTTTAGAAATTTCTTAGGCATTCAGTGACGTCATTAGTTTGACGAGATATAGTATCGATTATTTGAACGTAGTGTTATACGAACCTGTTTTCTCTGCGATAATGAAGTTTACTTTTGTGTAAAGTTGTTAAATTATTAAAATAGCCTAATTTTGTTCTAATGATAGGCTTATTAAAATATTACATTTTTTATAATTTAACTGTTTTAAATTTTTTATCGATTTATTTTCTTGTCGATTCGTTCCTACGGTTCGATTCTATCGTGTCGTAAATTTCCATATCTTATCATATGTTTCTTCCTACCGTCACATTTGCTTATCTCTCAACCCAACTCAAAAACTAAAAAAATTATCTATTAAAATGAACACTTGAAATTCTTATCGTTCGTTATCGCGCGCGACCGAGGGCGGATTTTGTACAGAGAAGTACGGAGACACTTAAGCAGAAATACTAGGAACATAAATACCACGATTATTTTTACCCCCCAAATTTCCGGTTCGCCCCGGGATCTGTTCGTCGACGTGCTTTTTTTACTCACTGAGGTAAGTGTTTTTCGATGTGTTTACTCAATATCCTCATTCGTACCACCTGCATGCGGACCGTTTTACGGTACGAGGATCCGTAGAGTGTGGCATGCTTACGGTCACAGCCGGGTGAGGATGGTGGATGTGGCATTCGCACAAGTTTTATGTCAAATTATCGCACTGCAACCACTTATTTACTCAAAAAAGGTTACTTTTTAAATACTAAAATTAACGCGATTTTAAAACAAGAAACTGTAACAACTGCATCAGACACTAAAGAATACTTGTATTTGATAAGGGATTTATGTTAGCTTTTGCTAAAATTAACCAAACGCAAAGTCGTAAAAGTATATTTTGACACTCTTTAACGGAAAGAAAAGTTCAATTTTTAATTTTAAGTTATCATTGTTTTAAAAACAAATGTAATATGAAACGATTTATTTTCTTTTATCTTGCCCCTTTAAAAACTGAACAATGCTCGGTTTGACAGGAAAAACTGATAAAATAACAGTTGGTCCCATTGTTCTCTGTATTTCTTTCAAACTTATATTTTTTATATTCCTTCTCCCTTAATTTTAATTTGGTCGTACATTTTATTCGCTTAGAGGTTTTTCTTCTCGAATCTTTAATTCCGATTGACTTAATTGATCCGTTTCGCATAAATTGATTGAACCCGCTGTAAAATGCGTCATAACGTTGATGCCATATTTTCTAAGCGTTTGTGTAAAGGGTTTCGACAAAACTTTCAATTTTGACGGTTGGTATGTACATAAAAAAGTTAGTTGTTTTGTTTTTTCAGATACTTTTATTTACTATTTTTGTTTACCCCACAGTGCTAGTTGCACAATTTTGGTTTCAATGTCAAGAACCGGTGTAGAATTTCAGCAGAATTGTTGAATTTGTTCGAGCAAACAATCACCTCGAACTCGGATTTTGTCAAATGACCTGTTACGCCCAAATTAACAAGCGTTGTAAAGAACAGATAATACCGCAGTTTACTCTCGTGGGTTTGTGTAAAGGATCTAGACGATACTTTCAATTTTGATCTTCGGTATATTTTATAATCCTTTAAATCTACTGAGACACCAAGACCTCGGAATTTGTCAATTGAGCTATAAACATAAATTGACCAAGCGCCACAATCGGTGTAAATGTGAAATTGTGTAGTTTCCCCTGGTAGGTTTGTGTAAAGGATCTAGACGATACTTTCAATTTTGATCGTCGGTATATTTTATTATAATCATTTAAATCTACTGAGACACCAAGACCTCGGAATTTGTCAATTGAGCAATAAACATAAATTGACCATGCGCCACAATCGGCGTAAATGTGAAATCATTAATAGCGTAGTTTTCCCTCGTAGATTTGTAGGGTCTGGTCTAAACAGTCAACTTTGGAGGTCGGTATATTTTATATAATTGTTTAAATCTACTGAGACACCAAGACTTCTGAATTTGTCAATTGACCTGTAACCATAAATTGACCATGCGCCATAATCGTCGTAAATGTAAATTATTAATAGCGTAGTTTCCCCTGGTAGGTTTGTGTAAAGGATCTGGACGAAACTTCCAATTTTGACCGTTGGTATGCCCATAATCGAGTGAATATCGTTGTTTCACACTTGTTTACTATTTTTGTTCGTCCCCGCAATGCCAGTTATACAATTTGGGCGTCATTCACAACAAACCGATTTTCAGCAGCACTGCAGAATTTCTTCAAGTAAACAAAAATCATCAAGCAATCGGATTTTACGAAATGACCTCTTCCGTTTAAATTGACGTTGTACCAACAACATTGTAAACAACAAACTATTTATATCGTAGTTCACTCTCGTGAGTTTGTGCATAGGATCTAGGCGATGCTTTCAACTTTGACTATCGGTTTATTTTATACAATCATTTAAGTCTACAGAGTCACCAAGACCTATAATTAAAAATTGGCGCCACAATTGGTGTAAATGTGAAATTGTTGTGTAGTTCCCCTGGTAGATTTGTGTAAAGGATCTGGACGAAACTTTCAATTTTGACGGTTGGTATGTCATTAATCGAGTTAATATGGTTGTTTCACACTGGTTTACTATTTTTGTTCTTCCCCGCAGTGCTAAACAACAAACCGTGTAGATTTTCTGCAAAATTGCTGAATTTCTTGTAGCAAATGATCACTAAACACTCGGATTTTGTCGACCTGTTTATCTTCTGCCCAAGGGTCGTAAATAACAACCTATTTACACCGTAGTTTACTCTCGTGGGAGAGTCTAAAATCTAGACGATACTTTCTGGTTTGATGTGTGTTCATTTTATATAATTATTTTAATCTACCGAGAACCCAAGACACTTAATTTGTGAACCTGTGCAAGAATTTTTAGCAGATTTGCTTAATTTCTACAAGGAACGGTCACGACGGAATTCTTCAATTGACCTGTTAACACAAATTTACGATGCGCCAAAATCGCCCAGAAAATAGGAAATCATTAATACGCAGTTTTCCCTAGTAGGCTCGTGAAAAGGATTTAGAAAAACTTTCAAATGTGATAATTGGTTTGTTTTATAAATGTTGAAATTGGCGAATTTTCTTCCTTGTATGTAGTGTCAGGAAAAATTGACTGAGAAAATAGAAGCAATTTTTTCTTCAGACCCTTCTCAAATTATACACGTTCCAGCTAAATAGCTGAATTTCTTCAAGCAAATAATAGCCAAGGCCCAAGGCCTCTGGATTTGACATTTAGCCTTTAAACATAAATTGACCAAGCACCATAATCGGCAGTAAATGCCAAATTAGTAATACCGTAGTTTTCCCTAGATGGTTTGTGTAAAGGATGTGAACGAAAATTTCAATTTTAACAGTGGGTTAATTTAATAAATGAAACACCCAGGGAAAAGGAAATTTTCAGGAATAGAAAATTTGACCCAATTTTTTTCTTGCAATCCCTTCTCACTATTTTACCTCCAAACGATCGCTACACGATGTACTTAGTCCAGACAATAATGTTAGCATTTGGGAAAGCGTTATCCCAAAATATGTAATCTGAGGTAGTTGCAATTTTGGGCGACAATCGCAAGAACCTTTTAGCAGAATTGCTGAATTTCTTCAAGAAAAATAATCACCGAGATCTCGGAATTCTTCAGTTGACCACACGCACACACAGTTATACACAAATTTACCATGCGCCAAAATCGGCCAGTAAATGGGAAATTATTATTTTTTTTGGGGGGGGGCAGCTTGGCCATTTCAGCCTCGAGTACTTGCGAAATATAACTACATGCATTCAATGCGCATTCACGCAAATAAATACATTCACACCTAATTACACTGCATTCATTCTATTTAAGAGATGGAGTACTCAATATTCCTCCAGCGACCTGCATACAATAACAAACTTATCTAATTGAGGTCGATGGGGTACTTTTATAAATATTCCGTCATCGACCCAAGTCGTACACAGCTCGAGGGGCGATGGGGATGCTATTTCACCATCAGCCCCTCCCAATTCACTCTAATAAATACACTCACTCATGCAAAACACCGAAACACAAAATACATATTTTGACGGCTGTGTACAATAAAAAATTCTCAATTCTCCTAAAAACGATCACCCTAAACTCGTTACCGTGTATGGGAACCATTATAAAATCCGGCGGCATGCCTACACGCTCTCTGAATGGAGCCAAGGCATGACACGCCTCTATTATATGGGACACATCGAGCAACCTTTCTCTGCATAAGGGGCACCTGAACGGGCTTTCGCCAATGAGGAATTATTTGTAGAGTAGTTTTTCCTAGTAGGTTTGTGTAAAGGATCTCATCGAAACTTTCAATTTTGACAGTTGGTTTATTTTATATATTTAAATGCAAAATTTTTTCTCCTTGTTTTATCACAAATTTCAACAATGTGATGTAAGGAAAAATTGGCAATGGCATTTTCTCCCACATTTATCTTCATTCGTCAAACCCTCAACTTTAGCTTGAAAGAATATATGCACGGTTATCATAATCAAGTAAATAATGTAATCTTTTTAACAATTACTTGTCCTTAAGTCTATAGGCATAGAATCATTGCACGATTTTGGTTGCAATATCAAAAATCCGTGTAGAACTTCAGCTGATTGGCTGAATTTCGTCTAGAAAAAAGTCACCAAAACCTTGATTTTTTTCAGTTGACCTGTTCGGCAAGAATTTACCAAGCACAGTATGTGCCATTTCAACATCGTACATTAACCGCGTTTTGGTTTGTGTAAAGCGTCCACACGAAACTTTAATTTTTTTTTTTCAATAATGAAAAGTACATGTTAAAATTATAATAGGGTAGTTTGACAAAGCCCTGTCTCGAAATTTGACATGCTGGATGTCAATTTTGACTACAATGTCAAGAACCCGTGTAGAATTTCAGCTGAATGGCGGATTTCTTCGAAGAATAAGTCACCAAGTCCTCGGATTTTTTCGGAATTGACTGAACTCTGAGGATTTGTTAATACCATGGATTTACTTTGTGATTTGGTGTAAGGGTGTAGACGAGGCTATCAATTTGGCAGTTGGCTTATTTTATAAACGGACCGAACCTTTCCGCGTGTAATAACATATATTGCAACAATGTGGAATCAGGAACAGGGAATTTTTTAGGATAAGAAAATTGACCCCTTTCCTCCTTTTTTTCTTTCCTTGCAATCCCCTTCAGACGATCGTTATATGTTTTTAATAATACAGAAAATAATTGATTAGGTTTCGTGGTCCGATTGACCAAATAAATTCTTTCCAATTAATTAATCTTTATGTAGGGTATTGTTTGAGATAAAAAAGTCATTGTCACGAGCGAGATTCGAACCCACGACCTTCGGCTAAATACGCCGCTGCTCTACTACTTGAGCTATCGTGACTTCGATCCATTCGGACACCAACTTCCCATCTCAACCTTCCTTTCGAATTTTCCCTCGAATCCTGCTCGTGACAATGACTTTTTTATCTCAACCAATATCTTACATAAAGATTAATTAATTGAAAATAATTTATTTGGTCAATCGGACCACGAAACCTAATCGATTTAATAAGCAAAATGAAGTATACTTCAACTACAGCTCTCAGTGGCCATTTTATTCGGTCGTGCGTTCGAATCCCGCTCGTGACAATGACTTTTTATCTCAACCAATACCTTACATAAAGAATAATTAACTGAACAGAAAATAATGTTATTTGAGAAAGCCTTGTTCTATCGTAGAATAAAATAAATCGTAGAATATTTGCAAATTTCGGCGACAATCGCAATCACTAGGACCTTTGACAACTGACCTGTTTGGAAAATATTGACCATGAACTGTAAATGCCAAATTATCGATATCGTTAGTTACCCTCGTATGTTTGTGTAAAGAATCCAGACGAAACGTCCAATTTTCTCGGTTTGTTTATTTTCTTGATTAAAATCAGTGCTAAAATTATAATTGGGATTATCTTAAAATCTAAAAATTATGAAATGCATACTCAAGTAAATATTGTAGTCTGAGAAAGCCTTGTCCGAAAACTTGTAGTGCTAGTTGACAATTTGGGCGAAAATCGCGAGAAACTGTGTGATTTTTGAAACAATACATAAATAATTGTAAGATTGTAACAACAACAACAAAACAGAATCTCGGTTTTTGTCAATTGACTGGCAAAAATTGACCAAGCCCAGTATCTGCCAGCTATCAATTTCTTACTGTGCAGAAAGGTACTTAAAAAAAAAAAAAATCCACGTATCCACCTTAATATCCGTAGATTACGATCTACTTTGTCAAGTAATATTGTTTTAGAAAGATCTGCCTCGAAAGGAGTAGTGATAGTTGTCAATATTAGCTACAATGTCATGAACCCACGTACAATTTCGACAGAGAGGCTTTCAGCTTGAAAACAATCGGCAGTACTTCGTGTTTTTTGTCAGTTGACCTGCTTCGCATAAATTGATCAAGTCGTCCATTATACAAACGCCAAATTATCAATTCCGAATCTTTCCCAGGGTTGTGAAAATAAAACGTGGATAGGAAAAAAATCCTACCTAAAATAATACTAATACCAATTTTCTCTTTCTCCAGGCACATCGGTTTCCCTCCCAAATATTTCTACGATCACAATCCTTTGATAGTTGATTTTAATAAAATTGTAATATTAAATTTTGAACAGTTGCTCCCTGAGGTTTTTACTGTGAAAGACGAATTTACTCGAAAAATTGTACCGGGTATTCTGGAAAGTATGTAATTTTATGTTTCGGGTCTGAAGTTCATAGTAGACCTTTTACTACACCAATCTTTTGTGGTTTCCTGTTTGTCGGCCATCCTCCCGCGCATTGTTGACATACTGTTATGTATTTACCGTCGATTTCCGCAGGAATTGTCTGTTAAAGTGGCCAGAACGTTGCCGTTTAGAATGCGGTCGTGATTTCGGCTTTGATACGCATTCTACATGTGCTCGATGGGTTCGGTTGTGGTCACTGGGGTCAATGGATATTGACCCGATTAGGCCAAAGTCCCAAATCCGATTCTTACTCTGGCAATATTATCAGAGAATTCACCTCAATGAGGTAGACGAATATTTTTTAAGGTATCTACAATTATCTCGCGTTGAAGATCCCTGTGAAGCGTGTGGGGTTGGTGTTTCCGTTGGTTTTCATTGGGTCAAACCATACCGTGTATGGTTTATTTCAGATCATAGTGCCCGTGATAAAATAGTAATAAATTTGCCGCATTTGACAGCCAGTAGAATTTCTGTTTCTGTTTTTTATCCACACCAAAGTGTCTTCAGTAAATTCAACATGGATAAATCTTCACGGCTAAAATAATAGGTTATTGCGATAAAATGCATCAATTTTAAAATTAAAATTGCCTTGTGACACGGTCTATTTCCAGTATTAGAAATATCGACCACTTTTTCACTCACGAACACTGCATCAAGGTATAGTCTTGAAGAAGAAAGCAACGAACACAGGATGAAGGGATGGTCTAAAAGAAGAAGAAGAAGAAAGCAAATTTAGTTGCTAATGCCAAGCTTTCGACCTATTTTAAGGTCATCGTCGGGGAAAACAACCTTAAATATGTCTACAGATTGACATATTTAAGTTTTTTCTTTTATTTTTTCTTTACAGGCGATCTTTCCTTGAAGACCGATTCAGTCCGAACAGCTTGTAGAAAAAAACTAAATATGCCAATCTGTAGTCATATTTAAGGCTGTTTTTCCCTGATGATGGCCTTAAAATAGATCGAAAGCTTGGCATTAGCAACTAAATTTGCTTTCTTCTTCTTCTTCTTCAAGACCATACCTTCTTCCAGAGTGTTGGTAAGTGAAAAAGTGGTTGATATTCTAATACTGAAAAAAGAAGAAAGCAAATTCTGTTGTTACTGTCATGCTTTCGACATATTTTAAGGTCATCAGGGCAAAACAATCTTAAATATGTCTACAGATTACATATTTAATCTTTTACAGACAATCTCAAAATTTCCTTGGAGACCGACAGTCCCAACATTATCAAAGAATTCAATTCACTAATTTCGTGGTCCGCTTGACCTAATAATATATTACAATTATTATATCACAACTAAAAACCTTAATTAATTGTATTATCAAAGAATGTGATTATGGAACCTCGGCCATGTTGTCAATCAATATGTCAATCTGAAGAACAATACTTAAGATTGTTTCGCCCTGATGATGTCATTAAAATTGATCGAAAGCTTGGCAGAAACAACTGTATTTGTTTCCTTCTTCAAGACCATACCTTGATCCGGACGGTTTGTTGAACCATGCGCACCAAGCGTAATGAATCATTAACGCGAGATAATATAGTTCTTGCTATTATATAGTTAAAAAACTTTTAAAAGAAAAAGCTAATGTATAATCAAACCTCTTTCCAGTGCTCACAAACAACCTAACCTTAAAAAAAATTAACACTACATTGCAAGATTAAAAACCCCCTTCACAAAAAATAATATGAACCCCACGGAGGTGACAGTCTTGGTTACAGGAGGTGGCGGTTACATTGGGACCCATGCATGTTTGGAGCTCTTGAACCGTGGTCATAACGTTATAGCCGTTGACAATTTCTCTAATTGTTACAAGCGTAAGTCGGCCGATGGAGGGCACGTCCGAATATATATGACATGAGCCTTGAGTTCTGTGCATTGCAGAGGATCATCTTGCCCAGCCGGAGTCGCTCATACGAGCCCAGATACTCGCCGGCAGGCGCCTGTTGTTTTACAATGTCTGCATCCTGGACAGTGAAGGTCTCGAGAAGGTCTTCCAGGATCAAGCGAAGAAGGTAATTTAGCGATAAGAATATATCCGTTGTGATATTTGTTATTTTTCCTTTGTTCAGAATAAAACGATCGACGTGGTCATCCACTTCGCTGCGCTGAAGGCTGTCGGCGAGTCGTGTTCGAACCCGTTGGCCTACTACAAGAACAACGTCGGCGGTACCATGAATCTCCTGGAAGTAATGGAAAAATACGGTTGCAAGAAGATAATCTATTCGTCTTCCGCAACGGTGTACGGGATTCCGGACCAACTGCCCTTATCCGAGACTGACCTCGCCGAGGCGTCGAGTTGCTCCAATCCGTACGGGAAAACCAAAAGGATGACCGAAGAGATTATGATGGATATCTGTGCCGCTTTTATGGTGAGCAGGCTGTTCTTTATACGTTTTTACGTTTTGTTGACCCCGGGGATCACGAATCACATAGATATCCTACTTAAACAACACAATCCAACCCTTAGGACGATTCCAAGAAGTTTAGTCGTTCCCAAGCAATCGCAAGAGCGAAGGCCGTCGTCAGAGATGTTTTCCAAGCTATAAACGATGTAAGATTTTACCAGTAAACTTTTAAATCAAATCCCTTTTCTCATTTCGTCGATTGGTTGTGAAAAAAGGTCGAAGACTACGATGAAGATTCTGAAAATGTATTCGTCAGGGCTTTTTTCAAGTGGTATCTCAGAAACCGTAAAGTATTACTCACCCTTTACCTCCTGTTATTCCTTCTGTTCCTTCCTTCAAGCCTTACACTTTCAGAGGTTGCCGCTCAACGAGAAAGCAGTCGTCGGGTCGAATCTCGCTCACAAAAAGGCTAGGTCGACGTACACTTGTGAAGAAATTTTGAAGGACGTCGTCAAAGATTTTGAGGTCGTATTGCAGACAACGTATTGCCTTTTACAATCATTTATAACTACTTTTTTTAAATTGGTAGAATTAAGATATACAGTCATAACTGTTTTTTGAAAGCGTACTTAATTAACAATATTTATATGTTTATTGCTTTATCGTGCCAACGTTTCGATCTTTATTGAGATCATCTTCAGGGCCTGGGGATTTACAAACATTGCTTACATATTATAATTACATTTTGGATGTGGAAAAGTGAATTTATACAATGCAAAATATATTTTATATATTCAATCAAAGTATTTCTACTACACAGAAGACAAACACTGAGTGAGTAGAAATACTTCTCAAAAATTCTCAAAGTCAAAAAACGTTCATCCTCTGGTTCTTTTACTCTAGGGCGTCCAGAACCGGCCCTTCTATGGTAGGACCCAGTTTCTCGAAAACATAATAAATAACATAATAATAAATAATTAATCATAAATAACGTAATTTTTGCTTGTAGCATTTTGTGTGCAGTTTTAAAGTATATTAAAATTTATTGAACTCATATACCAGTGTTCCCGAGGTCGTTTTATCGTTGTTGTTCTTGCGTACTCCAGTCCATCACTTTTTTCATTTGCCTAAGCAGCCGTGAGTGGTTTTATAGTTAAGATGTTCAAATAAATGGATATAATAGTACGACTAAAAATAAAAAATTTACGTACAGAAAGTACAATGGCGTTTGTAGCGTGGTCGTTGATCCCCTGAGATACGTTCGAACTGATCGAAGGTATAAGCATGATTGTATAAACTGCCTTAAATTGTCCTAAAACACTGTCTCCCAATCCATTATTTTAGCAGTTAAAAAGTAATTCCTGTCATACTGGAGGGCATTACGCCCAACTTGGCCGTTAGGTGTCGTGGTCGAGGGGTCAAAGCACTTTTTCGGAATATTGCCCATTCAAATCATCAGCTATCAATAGAATTTGTTAGAGAAATACCAGAAATCAACTCTACATCAATTGTTCTCTCTATTCTCTCACTCTTCCATTCAATCTTTCTCTTTCTCCCTCTCTCCCCTCTATTTCTCCCTCTCTCTCCCCTCTATTTCTCCCTCTCTCTTCCCTCTCTCTCACCCCCACTGATTCTCTCTCTTTCTCTCTCCCTTCTCTTTCGCCCTCTCTCCCCTCTCTTTCTCCCTCTCTCCCCTCTCTTTCTCCCTCTCTCCCCTCTCTTTCTCCCTCTCTCTCTCACCCCACTGATNTCTCTTTCTCCCTCTCTCTATCCCTCTTCTCTCTTCCTCCCCCTACTCTTCTCTCTCTATCCCCCTCTCTCCCCCTCTCTCTATCCCCTTTCTTTCTCCTTATCTCTCACCCCCACTGATTCTCTCTCTCTCTCCTCACTCATTTTAGTCTCTCTTTTTATTTCTCTATTGTTCTCTCTCTCTCTCTCTCTCTCATTTTCTCCCTCCATTTTCTTCTCTCACACATCTTACACTTTTCTGTTTCTTTCTCTTCATTTATTTTTGTTTTCCCTCATTTCTACAGGTTCTCTGTTCCTTACACACTACTATCTCTCCTTCTTTTTTCTCTCTCTTGCTTATTTCTTCTCTTGCTCGCTCAACTGTTTTTTCTTCTGTCTGATGTAATACCTGCTCTTAGCGTTATTTCTATCCTCCTATCTTTTTCACTCGTATTCTTTTCTATCACTCCCGGTCTGACGGTCTGCTATATTTCGGCTTGCTTATGTCAGTGAGGTCATACCGAAATGCTTGCACTCGGCTTACGCTCGCAAAACTACCGAGAATAGACCAGACAGAATACTTTCAATTTCTGTAGTGGTTGGACCATTACAAAACTTGTTATGCTCAATTGTGAAACACAATTTCTCTACTCTCACATATACCAATATTTTTCTCCTTGGTAGATGTGGACTAAGTGATTATTATTTAATTTGTCGATAGGCCATTTACAGACATTTTGGTCTGCCTATCCTCTGTTGACTGTTAGAGAGAAGACACATAAATAGTGTAAATAACATACATAAATAGTGAGGGTAGACGGACTGAAATGATTGGAAACGAACAAATTACAGGTTTAACAATCCACAGATCCAACGTGAAAATCTCAGCTATTTAAAATTTGTTATCAATTACACAATTTTTACAGGACTGGGGCGTGATATCTCTGAGGTATTTCAACCCCGTCGGAGCCCACCCTTCAGGGCTCATCGGAGAAGATCCGAACGGGGTGCCAAACAATCTGATGCCGTACATCACCCGGGTGGCCGCAAAGAGGCTGGACCGGCTCGTAGTCTTCGGCGGCGACTACCCGACCCGAGACGGGACGGGCGTGAGGGACTACATCCACATAATGGACCTCATCGATGGGCACATGAAGGCGCTGGATAAAATCATCAAGATGACTGGGTTTAAAGTGTACAATCTGGGCACCGGCAGGGGCTATTCCGTGCTCGAAGTAAGCCCGTTCTGTTTCGAAAAATTGGGTGGAATACTTTAATTTTTGTTTCAAGGTCATAAAAGCCTTCTCGGAAGAAAATAAGGTCCACGTTCCGTACGTGATAGAAGGCAGAAGGGAAGGGGACGTCGCGGAAAGCTACTGCGACGCATCTTTGGCCCTCAGGGAACTCGATTGGATCGCAACGAGGACCCTCAGGGAAATGTGTAAGCCCGATTTATAATTTTGAGTGTATTATGTGTCAATCCTCCCGCATCACGTCACGGTTTCAATTTTCAGGTGCCGACGCCTGGAAATTCCAGTGTAAGAACCCCCAGGGCTACCTGACCCCGAGGGACCCGGAGTGCCTCGTCCACTCGCCACAGAAGCTGAGGAAGCTCCTGAACGAGATCACTGCCGTCGAACTCGCCCGGGCCGAGAGGAAGCTCGAGTTCGACAAGCTGCAAATCGAGAGCGAACTGAAGAAGAAAGAAGAACAGGTACTCGTCACCGAACTGAGGAGGAGGCTCAGAGAGGCCGAGAGGCTGAAACAGAGCACTTGCACCAACACCAACTCGTTACCATTCTGCTACGACTGTCCTCCAATGACGCTCAATAAATTGTAAAACCCAAAAAATACTCTGGTTACATTTTTAAAATTATGACTGACATTTAGCGATCGTATAAAACGTCAGGTGGGAAGACTAGATTCTTCCTACATCTCCATTTAAAAAAGTTTATCCATAAAATTTAACTATTAAAAAACTAATCCTAAGTCAATTAATAAATAATTAAAATCGAATCGAAAATGTGATTAGCTACATCTGTCTAATTGGAAAAACTTATAATTTTGTCCATTTTCTATGATGTACTGTTGGATAAATGTAAGCTAAAGGTCGATTCACACACCATTAACGTCACAGTGCCGTGACCGACATTTTGTTCCACCGGCGGATTTGAAAATAATCTTTTGGAAACTGAACGGCTTTGTTCACACTCGCCCGGCGCGCGACCGTGGCCTTGCCAACAGTGCAGCCATCGTCACCGGACCGTGATCGTCGGATTTCGATATTTTACAGTTTTCACGGCCGTACAAAATGAACGAGGAGAAACTAATTGACTGGTACGAAATAATGCTAACGTTTGATCAGGCAAATTCAAAATACATGGGCTCAAATTTCATGAATACTCCCTGGAGGAAAATAGGGGCAGAAATCAAAACATAGCGAGTAAAGTAGGAGTATATTTCCTGTATTTACATTATAATTAGGAACAGAGTATAATAAATTATGATCTATGATTAGAACTTGTTTTAAGGTTGTTGGGTATTTAATAAACACGGGAGAGATCCAGCATCAGAATTGAAATAATCAGGGAATATTTCTCGTATTCGAAATGCATCTGCGTCTTGCGTTCCCTCCCTGTAGTGGGAACAAAAATTAGCAGTTTTTTTTTAAATTTTTGTTTGGTCGTTAACCAAAAAAAAATTTCACAATTTCATTGAAATATATAGTATTTAAAAAACCTGAAGAGGCGTTGGACAAAGCGAAACGTATCTTCGGGGCGACATCCTGGTCAAAATATTTCTAAACTTCGGATTTTCGTTTTCCTTCCATTTAATTATTCAATCTAAAAATGTAAAAATAGATGGACGATAGTATCGATAGTTTTGGGACGATAGTATCCCACTATCTTTCTGTAAATGGAAATTTTGTAGTGTTCGACTTTCATTCCACGAATCCACTTGGGAAGTATTTTGCTCCATCCTCTCCTAATTCTTTGTAAAGTGTCCTTCTGTACCTCTCTTCTACCATGATTTTTCTTCTTGATTCCTCTTCTTCATCTAAAATCAGGGCCGTCACGACTCTGTCACCTCACTGACGTATGTGAATCGACCCTAAGAGTGCAGTCTGATTTGCAAAAGAAAAATCGAGATTTTTGACGCAAGAGAAAATTTATTTTCTTACTTTCATAAAAATCCATGTATATTTAATATAATTTGGTAAGGTAAACAAGTGGAAATCAGGAAGTAGAACTGGTTTAGGAAATTTTAGCCTTTGAGATGGGTTAATGATATAACATATTTGATTTTTGTGTTATACATATTTTATTTTCTCAGAACACTTAGAAAGATTCAGAAAAATAAAAAAATTTACAATAATTTTTTTTGCCTTTTCAAAAGTTTTTTTAAATAGATAATTTCGGCCAAATATACATACATATACGTTTTAAGAATTCTCTTATATATAATAAAATCTCTTATAATTTGTTTGTACACTTAGAAAGTTTTTTTTTTTTAGTTTGAAAAGTATGGAACTTTCTTAAAGCGAGGGAAAAAAGGGTCCAAAAATTTTTTTTAGGCAGTCTCGAAAATTTTGTTTAACAATTTCTTTCCCTTGGAATGAAGATTAATAATATATAATATAATAGGTTGATTTTTGTTTTGAAATTTGTAAATTTGAAAGTTATATACAAGAGGAAAAGCGAGGAGTTTGAGAAAGAGAGAGTCCATTAGATTTGAGGATGCTGTGCCAATAGTGCCTGGAGTTCGTCGGCGCTTCTGAGGAGGAACGCTGCAGATTCTCTGTAGCCGGTGATCAGCTGCCGGACGGCGCTCACTTCCGCGCTCGACAGCTTCTGAGACAAGATGCTTCGGGGCTGTGCAGCGGCGCAACCCCGGACGCTGAGGTCTTCGGGTCCGTTCGGATGGAAACCGGGGAGGATCGGCGTGGCGAACTGGCCCTGGCCCATGTACAGGTTTCGGTACTGGGCCAATCCGGGGAAAGCTCCGGAGTTGAGAGTACTGCAGCAAAGTATGTTTATTACATAACTACCGGTATTATTGTTTAATAATTACACCTGCTAATTACCGATTAGATCCAAAAAGCAAGAAACATATTTCACTGTGTTTAAGGAAGCACTAGTAATACTGTAACAACGATACTTAGTAGTAGTAGGTTCTAACCATACCTAGTACTACTGTTCCAACGATACCTAGTACTACTNCTAGTACTACTGTACCAACAATACCTAGTACTACTGTTCCAACTATTCTAGTACTACTGTACTAACTATATCTAGAAAGCCTTATAATACAGATTGCAGTGAACAAAAAAACCCGTTGAGCACGTGTGAGAAGCCTGCGACGCTGGCACTTGATGTGAAGGATGGGGCGACGAGGTCGTAAGGTTTTTAACGGGGATTGGACGGTTTTCAGACGGTGTTCAGGACTTGTGCAGAACGGATTAGTTCAGTTGTCGAAAGGAGAGTTAAAGTTACTTAGTACCATGGTGGAACTTTGACTTCTTAGGTTATATGATGGAAAGATTTGGATAATATGGTGGAAACCAACAGTTCCGCCCTATATGGCCAAAGTGGTCGGGGTAAGCTGTACATATTGGGCTTTTTACACACATCTCTTTTCAAAGTTTTGAACATTAGTATATGTCAAATAAGTAACTTAAATACGAATTCCAGTGGATGTCGGTAGCCCCTTTTTGATATCCTGGTACATTTCGATAACGGTCTGTTTTTTAATTATAAATGCAGTTCTGCTTTTTAAACGAAATGAACGTTCAGGCGTTTTTAGTTTCTAATTACGACGGTTGAACATGGACAATTCCTTTGAGGATTTTAATCAGATGGGTGCGAGGGAAAGCAACCATTCCGCTCCTAACTTAACTTTTGTACAAAGCTAATTGCTTTTTTACACCCATGGCATATTTCTGCTTTAGAGGTCTTTTATCAAGATTTAACGTCAAACTACTGTCTAGATATATTCCTAAGTGCCTAACTCGATAGGACATGTAGGTGATAGATGTGCTATGGTGGACAAGGTTGGGTTTCTAGTGGTTTTTTATGTTTGATAAGCTGAAGGGCATTCTTGGATATCGGAGGAGACTTGGATAGACGTCCGAGCATTTTAGTCTCATGAGTGAATCGACACCCCATTGGAGTAGAGTTAGTGCTGGTATGTTGGTTTTTTACAGCCATAAACTATTTTGGTACTAAAGGCGATCGTTTGCTAGGTGTCTCGGGTAGTCTGCTGTGATGCGCAGTACATAACTTTAGTGAATAACGGTAGACTTCGATGCCGAAATCAAGCGGTTGGATATTGAGGTGGCTTGAACAGTTTTCTGTGTTTTTAATTATTCGTAGGTAATTCTACATGCTATTGGATTAGTCAAGAGACAACATATTATTGGAATATATGGATATACAGGAATTTTCAATCTTGTGATGAAAGGAATATTCAGGCATATTGCGGTAGGTGACGTTTAAGGAGTTTGGCCAATGACGACTTTTGAAAGGAAGGGAAAACACGCAGCTTGTCTCCGTGGAGTGGTCAGAGTAATTCAAAACGGCTAGTTTTGAATATCATAACGGTCTCGGAAGTTCTCTGGGCAAAGCAACAACTAGGCAATAGAATACAAACTCGCTAGGCGAGAACTGCATTATCCATTAGGGCACAACCTATACTTAGGATAGGATAAACACAGAATCCTTCATCTCAGAATGAATACACAAAAACATAACCTAGGCTATCATTGAGACCCAGGGAAAACAATTGCAGCAATGACAGTCAATAACTTACTACATCTTAAGAGAATTATCGAATCGGAACTAGACATATGAACTAGGAAAGAACGCTGCAGTGCTTGGGGAAAGCAAAATCCCTGCTGCAAGCAATCATCACTATCTAGGTAAAATAACAAAGCGCAGAACTTGAGTGTTGTTAGTTTCTTATTGGTCATGTACACTAGACCACAGTTGTTTGATTAGCTGCGATGATTCTGGATTTCTGGCTGGGATTTGAGTTAGGAGAGAATATTGCGGCATTGATTTCGTAGGAATAGTTTTGGTGTAGTGTAAGCAGTGTAAATAGGACCAATCCATTGTGGCGCGTTTGCACCTTGTCTGTTTGGTATGTTTAACGATGAAGTAAAAAGGAGAGGTTCATTAAACTTATACTTGTTTACAAACGTGAAGCAGGTCTGTCTTGCATAACTGTATATCTAATGCGCCGTTGCTGTTCGTATAAAGATTACAGACATGAGCTTCCATTATGATTATTTGCAATTTACAAAGTTATTAATTAATGAATAATAATCTTAATTGAAATTCTGATGTGTGAATAACCAGAGACAATACCCCGAAGAGGGATGAAGTGAAGAATGTCTACTTACTTCACATTGGTCGTGTTGATTGATTTGCTATGCAGCTCCGGTTTGGCGTAGTTGGGGCTTCCCGGTTTGTTGTTGTTGTTGTTGTTTGCCGTTTTGATGTCCATTCCGAGGTTGGCCGGGCCGAAGTCGAGGCTGGGCCGAGCCTCGTTCGGAAAGGACGGCATCGGCTGACTTACAGGTTCCAATCCGAGTCGCATCCTTTTCGCGTTGTGCGATTCGTTTTCGCACGCCACCGCCAAGATCTGCTCTGCCTGAACCGAAGTGAGGTGAGCAGGGGTAGGACGGCCCTAAAGAAAGTAACAAAAAATCCTTACAAAATCAAAACTACACTCGCAACATGCCGTACAGCGTAGAAGAATTAGCGAAAACACACTCACGGGTTCGGGCCAGCTCGTCGAGTCCCTGGACCTTTTGTTTCTCCTGCAAGATTTCAGATACGTCCTGATCCTCTTCCTCGCCCTTTCGCCGTACTCTGGAAACTGTCTTGTGCACGAGTCGATGATCGCTTGAACCTTCTCCTTCGGCTGTTTCGATATCGGAACACACCTGTCCAAGTTTTCATCGACAAACAACCTCACGAACATCTTAAAAAAAAATCAAAAGGTTTAAAGAAACTTAACAAGCCTAATGAAAAATCAATAAACAGGAAGAATTAAGATTTCCGAACTTTCGATACTTTTTAGCTTAAGGTGTAAGATTTAACGAAAATAGGGCAGGTGGAAAGGAGACCCCTTTTTAAAATCCATTTTTATTTAGTTAGACCGTGACTATATTGAAAATAATGCTACTGTGTCTGACAATGGGTCTCGAATTAAGGGTGCATTACTAATTGAATCCAATAATAATAAACCCTGCGGTTTGGGGTTAACGAGTCAGCCTCAAGGTGTGTCTGTGTGGCAGGTTCTGCCATCCAAATTTTGTTTTCGATACACAGTATGGTCTTTTGCTATGAAGTCCGGAGCCAATGGGCCTGTACTTTTCTGACATTATTACAACTGGCTGTTCCTTGCTCGAAGTTGAATTTGAATAGAATATTCAAAAACGAACAAAATGTTTATCCATTTATTCTAGTTGTCTAATTGACCAAATTACATATTTCAAGTAATTATTCGTTTTATGCAAGGTCATGGCTGAGATGAAGTTAATGTCACGAGCGGGATTCGAACCCACGACCTTAGGCTCCATACGTCGATGCTCTAACCACTTGAGCTATCGTGACTTCGATCCACTCGGACACCCATTCCACAATCCCAACCTACATCCTTTCGAATTTTCCCTCTTTTTGCCATTGTTCATCTCAGCCAAAAACTTCCATAAAAATAATAATTAATTGAAATGAACATAATGCGTCTTCTACGTCGATATTTTTAATATCATGTCTGTTAACATAATTAATATGTTTTTTGTACGACTTACGTTGAAAGCTTTGAGCCTTTCGGAATCGTGGTGTGGCGCTTTAAGGTCATCATCGTCGTCGTCGTCGTCATCGTCTTTGTTTCCAGAGGAGGACGTCTCGTCGTGAACGGAGCTCGTTTCGTGCAGAGGGCTCTGAAAAGAAAACGCGCCATAGAAGAAAATTTTTAAGGTTAAAATTGACGTTTTTCTACCGATAGTTCTCTTTGTGGTGTACTGCTCTTTTTGACGATACCGTAGTTCCAGGCCTCGTCCGTTTCCACACCCGGGTTTTCCGTCCCGTTCTTTCCGTTGATAGCGTCTTCCTGGACGTCGATTTCAGGTGATACACGCATTTCCTGGGGACAAAAGTAAAAAAAAAATCCTTGTAGTTCGGTCATCCCTAGAAGTAAGTTTGATGAAGCAATATTCTAAAGCAGTGAGTTTGTACACTACTAAAAATTGTGATATACGCCACCATAACAGTGCGGATAGGTGGCCATGGTTGAAACTGATATTCAGCTCAATAAGTCGTGTTGTCATGTGTCCACATAGGTTCTCATCCCTTGGCACTATGCAGAGAGCGAGTTAGAATGTCACCCAATACGAGCATCGTGCTTGGGCTCGGCAGCCAGTTTTTCATTTTTGGTTGGTGGAGAAAAGGTAGGGTTGGTCTCGCTACAAATACTTTTTTTGAGTGTTAATTGCGATATTGTATTTATTGGCGTGAATGTGTTGTATGAGGGCCGATGACGGAATATTGAGTATTTCGAACTTCACTTAGATTAGAAGTATAGCTTGTACATGGTGTGATGACATGATGATTACCGAAGAAAATAATCTATTTAAACAAGAGTGAAAGTGAATAGATTTAGATTAAAAAGTAGGGGCTTGAGGGTTGACCCAGTTGTTTTTTAGCCCGGCGTTCAACTGAACGACAGTACCGACAAGCCAAAGGCCTAAAAGTGGGGACCAGGTGCGCAACTTAATATCGTGACAGAACTCGCAACACTACGCGTAATAAATATACACAAATACACTATTCCATTAATCAGTTCTTATTGAAAACGTGGAGAGGTTCAATAGGTTGGAAATGCGAAGGCCCGAGTGTATAAACTATATGGGGATTCATTATCTGTAAATTATCGGTGAACCTCGTTACGGAATCGAACCTCAGTAGACATCCCGACTACAAAGTACGCGCAGTGCCAAAGAAAGATAATGCATATTGCTGCATCGGCCCAGTTAAAATTAATTCAGTAATGAGAGATGTACTACGCACTCTTGGCTGGGTACAGTTCAAGTTGATACTCCACTGTTGGTCGTGTAAAGGTGATCTTGTCGGTGAATCTCCGGGCCTCCCACCTAATCCAAGTTACTAGGTATCGCATACTCAGGATAATGGATATTATTGCGGCAGGTTAGATACACAAGGACTATGAACAAGAAGAAAACAGTAGCATACACAGTTACGACTGAAGCACTGTTAAGAAGTCCCGCTCAGACACGATAAGAAGAAGATAGCTATGACATTGCAGGTCTAAGTACGTGAGTGTCCAGGACAAAATAATAGAAATTGTTGGGTCGGCCGACATACTCAGGACAAGAAAGAAGAAATGGTACTGCCGTACAAAGTTAAAACTGAATCACTGTTCCGCATTTCAGCTCAGACTTGATTGATAGGATTGAAGCACAATGCCACTATTGGTTTGTATAAATGTAGCGTCCAGGATAAGATTATGGATATACTGCGGCGGCCTATATACTCATGGGCTTTATAGTCAATCAGGAGAAACTTCAAAGACGATAGTGTCATACAGATTTTAGTGTTAAGCAGTCCCCCCAGACATGGTAGGAAGATGGGCTATGGTACATGCTTGTGATATGACGCTAGAAAACCGATGTTGCAGTTACGCTATTTGTTGCATGTCTCGACTCACTTTTATTCAGTACTGCCAACGATAACGGAATAGATGACTTAATAGACTTAACTGTAGGCAAATTTTTGTTTTAGGTTGTATAGGTCTGATCGAAATGATTGCTACGGGTTATTTAATTGTTCTATTTTTTAATTAATTTTTTATCTCTTTGAACTGGAATTCGTGTGGTTTTCCTCTTGTGTTTTTCGATTCGGTCTAGGTTTGCTCGTAGGGCTTTTGCGAGGTATAGATCCCTCACCCTCTGAGGCGTGAGGGGGGTGGGCTTTAGAGGGGTCGGGACGGGCCTTTTCCTCTTCAACCCCCTTCATCCCCGCCGACGCTCCTCACAAAACCCCAACCCCTTTCAGAGCCCTCTTATGTGACTAGGGTGTTTCGGGGGGGCGGGGGTGGGTTTGATAAAAGGGAGCGCCCCCGCACCGAGGGTGGTTCGCCCCTCGCCACCCCCCTGATTAAACCGAAAGTAGACTCACCCCCGACCTGACTACACCCACTCGAGGGGGGCATCGCCCACCCCGGCCAGGGCACAACCGGAAAACGGAGCGAAAACAAGGCTCTTCCCTCGTCGGGACATTTCGAAAACCCTGGAACCAGGAAAACGGAAACTAAAAACTTCTATCACTTAGAAAAAGTTTTATGATTATCAAAATAAAAAACAAAACTATTTACTGTTTCAAAAAACCAACTCAAAAAACTTTTTAATTTTGAAAAAACTACAACAATGAATTTTGAATTTGAAAAAAAAGCAAAAATTTTGCTACGGCTTAAATAAAAGTTCTGAAAAAGAAAAGAATCCAACCCCCCCCCATGTTCCTTCCGAAGACCATAAACTATCAACCCTCCAACTAGCATAATTTCATTGTAGTTCGGCTGTTAATATATTCGACTGTGGCGCCAGTCTTGAGATCGATCCTCACGTGGGCCGGGGCTGTTGTGGGAGCGGTTCAGGGTGCTGAGACAGGTAAAACCCTGACAGGCATCAGTGTGACACATGTGACTCCGCCACCTTGAAGACCTATTCCTGGAGTGCTTGCGTTTCCGCGTTCCATTAAAGTCAAACCGATAATATCGTCAGTGGTAGATTCTTTTGTTACTGTCTAAATTTGCCCAATGCTAAAAATTATTCGACAACTAATAATGTTCTGTTCATAAGTAAACATAACATCTACTATCTCGTGACAGCGGGTGATCATTTTTTACAAAATTTTGAAAAATTCTTTGGGTGAACTCAAGTTATTTCAAAATTGGCAGACTTTTTTCTTATTATTATTGAAATATGTAATAAATAGTGAAAATAAAAATCCAGCTGAGAAATTTTGATTTTATAAAGGAAATATCAAGAAGGAAAAAATTGTGCAAAATTTCGACCCTAGGGGGGAAAGGTCACAAACGTGTGCATCCGGTTGTCGGTCATGCTCAATTTTCTTTCAGAAAAATTTGAATCGACGGAGTTAAATAGTGTTTTAATCAACTCCAGTGAGACCTGAAACCTAAAATGCAAAATTTTTACAAATTTGATTTAAATAATTTAGTTAAAAATGGTTTCCTGAAAGTTAAGAAATTGGGTCAAAAATTTGAGCGAATTGAGGAAAAATGAAGATATTGAAATGATTTAAGGGAAATTGTATGAAATTTGAAGTAAGGAGGTGAAGGTTCAAATTTTGGACCCTGGGAGCTTTTTTTAAAACAAAATTGTCAAAAGTTATTGCTATATTTGATTATTTGTACCTTTTTCTTGTTGCTCATATTGTAAGAAGTATGATATTTTTATGTTGATCTTCTAGGGTTTCATCGCCGGGTTCCCAATCTCAGTGGGGCGTTCTCAAATCGTAAGTTCTCCCCCTGGCCCTTCTGTCGGATCCTTGTCTGCTCGGCCGTCGGGTTCAGACTGAAGGCGGATGGGGTGTTTCGGGGGCGTACGGGGTCGGTTTCGGAGGTGGGGGCGGCGTAGGTGTATCCTGGGGGGTGGGTGTTGGTCTCTGGTCAACAACAGTCTTGCCAACCCCCTTTCACCGGCCCCCCCCTTCACCGACCCCCATTCGCCCGAACCCCTTCACCGCCCGACGGGTTTTAATATTCTCCCCGTTGCTCGTGGATACGGGCAAACAAAAAAGCGGCAACACCAACGCCGACCCGGTGGATGGGGGTCGCGATGCTCACCCGCGTGCCTAGGACACACGCCGTAAATTCTCCTTATCCCGACCTTGAGATAATTATGTTTTATCCAGGGTATAACTTGGTGACAAATATTTCATTAAAATAAAATTTATCATGAAAAGGAAGCCCTTTCCCTTGTCCCACCTCCAAAAAAGTGCTTTGTATTAATAAAAGGTGAGTTTTTCTTATTACATGGCATTTTCTTCAAGCCTTCTTTTTAATTTTGATTTCTCGCTTCCTGAAGGAAATATTTTATCATTTCCCTTATTTACCCAGATTATTGTCAATTTTATAGCGATGTTCTATTTTCTTAATTTTATTGCTCAGATGGCGATGTTTTCAAAGAAACCAGGAAAAAAGTTAATTTAATAACTTTATACTTCATAGATGCGTCATCGAGTACTCATGTATAATGGCCCCCTACATTATAGGCATAACAGGCCCCAATGGATGGTGATGATGATGAGGAGCACACTAGGAAGCGGGGTTTGTGATCCCCAGGCACTGCAGCATTCAGGCTTATTGTACCTTCCTAGTTCCCTAGTTCAACAGACTCAATCCTACTTCTCAAAAGTACCAGGTCATTGACTACTGTCGCTGCAACAATTTCATTCCCTAGGTTTTTTCAGTATGCTAGGTTATGCTCTCCATTGAGTAGTTGCTTCGCATTCGAAGATGATATAGGTGGCTGTTTCTTCTTCCTCATTATTCTGCAGATGGGATCAATATTATGTAGATGTTTTCTCAGATTCCAGTGAGTCTGGCCCGTACCAACTGAAGCAGCGAGTTTGCCAGTCTTGGTGAGGTTGTTTCAGCATAGGTTGGCTGTGTTCAGCGCCACTAGGGTTAATCCATTTCTCCTTTTATTTTCTTTAGATCCATTTGGTGATGGAAGATTCTGTATTTGTTTTTGTTATTACAGAGCCGTTCGAAGCCTATCTACGGTCTTCCTCTGGCCAGACTGTCTGCTTTTTCGTTACCCACAATTCCTTTATTCCTTGGAACCCAAGATATCATCAAGTTATTGTGTTTCCTCAGATTTTGGATGCATTCACTGACTAATTTTGATGTGATTATTTAACACGTTAATGCTTTAATAGATGCTTGGCTATCAGACCTTATGAGGATTTTTTTGCCAGTGTAACCTCTTTTAAGATTTTCTAGGGCACAAGCATGGCATGTATTTCTACACGTTTGTTTTGGAACCATCTGTATCCCATCATTGCATCTGATACTCTACTGAGTTCTTCCTCTCCTTTATAGTC